TATCTCGCTGCCGGCATTATTAATAATTATATATTAATGTATAAATATTAATACAATCTGTACAATGCATATGTATGTCTGGCTCAGGTAGCTTGAAAAGACATACACATCCGTGCCTCTCATCGAAACTAACTCTCATTACCCTAACCTTAAGTCGGGCGATGTGGGAATATCAGGGTTAATCACTGTAGTTAGCCTGAGATTAAACGTTAATTAACAAGATATATTATTATTATTATCATGAAGTAGTGTTTCCCCCTCCCCGCCATTGATCTTGCCGTCATGTGTTAAAATGACACTTTAACAACAACAAAGAAACCTTACACTAAAACCGGCAGCGTTATTTAGATGAAGCATTGTCCAAACGATTGTTTTCAATCTGTACTTTGCATCTGTGATTCACAGTCGCGAAAAAAACTGGGGGGCTGAGTGAGCTTTAAAAATACATATCAGACGTGTTGGGGGGGGGGGTGTGGTGGTTGTGGTGGGTGGTAGTGGGTGGTGGGTGGTTGTGGTGGTGGGGAGCGGTGGTGTAGCGGTTAGCGCGCTGCGCTACGAACCTGGCGACCCGGTCTCGATTCCCGCTGACGGCCAACACCCAGTGACGATTATCTGAGCTGTTCCTGGGCCTCCCCTAGGTCGACTCAGCCTCAAACGAGTACTTGGGGCGGTGAGTAAACATCGCCACTGGGGAGAAAAAGGCGTTCAGGCGTGGTGCTGGCCACCCACTCCCTCGTGTGCCGTGCCGGCCTTCATAGGTGCTCGCTAACAGCACTTGCCCCAACAGTCTGCTGAGGCTATACGGGGGGGATATCTGTCTGTATCTGTTTTGTTGTCGCTGTTGTCATTGTTGTTAATGTGTGCTCTTTAAACGCTTAGGAAGCGGCCAAACAAACACAAAAAACGGCCAGTGTCGCGTGCGGATTTCGCACAGCTCATGGACACAGACGGGCGCCTCGCTACTTAGGCAGGTATGTGTTAAGCTCGGCTGATGTTACGTGTCAGACCAGATCACGAAGGCACGATCTCCTGCCCCGCCTCCCCCCTCCTCCTCCTCTCGCCGCCGCCCCGAGGCACGCACACTCTTCCACACGCACACGCGCACGCACGCACGCACACGCACCTGCTGCTTGGCACCCCCTCGCGAAGGTGACGTCGAGTCACGCAAACTTCTCGTGCGCATTTCTCTCTCCGCGTGAAAATGCCACCGTTGACATTTCGAGGGTGGGAAGGGTGTGGGGGGTGGTGTGGAGGGAGTCCTCTGCGCATCAGATAGAAACAACAACAACAACGAGTATATACACTTAGCGTTTAAACTTTACGTACGAAATCCCTTTGTTCGTGGGTTGTCATTGTTTTTGTGTTCGTCTGCGTGAAGGTGAAGTTTGACCGCCACAAGTTGCGTGCGCGTGTGTACATTCTGGTTGTACGAGGAGAGCGGTGGTGCAGGGGTTGGCGCACTGCGATCATCTAAAAGCGGTGGCTTGAATTTGAATGCTGGCTGTGGCTAACATCTCAGTGGCGAGGTTTACTTGGGCCTCACATGGGTTGACTCGGACTGAAATGCGTAAGAGTGGTTAGCGCGGTGTGGGAAAGATTGAGCACTGGGGATACAAAGGTGGCCGGGAGTGGGGCTGGCAATACTATCCCCTCGTACGCCACCCTGACCTTGCTGGGCACTGGTCAACTGCACGCCTCAGGGTCATGGTCATTTATGCTTATTAAATATTGTGTGCATTATACATCGCATTATTACTTGTGGCAGCACCTTCCCCAACATATAAGTGAATTGCAGAATGTTTCTTCGTCGGCAAAAATATTGGTCAAAGGCAAGAATTGCAATGTCATTGATAAACGATCTCCAAGTGCCATGCAAGTAGAATTGAAGTCTCGAATGTTGATTGACTTTTCTCTTGCTTTTCATATACAGCACTCTACAGATGCATTGTAGTCTCTCTTGAGCACGCAGGAGCTCAGAGTTTGTTGTGAATTGTTGAATTATTCGGTATAGTCCAGTATCACCACAATCATCATCATCATCTACACCAATGATAAATACACTGCTGGATGAAAGCCTTTTCCGAGCAATCGCCTGGATTTATAGCAGACACTTAAAATAACCCAGGAGCAATACGCTATGCAGGGTATTGTTATACTGTACATGTATCTTTTTACAAAACAGGTTTCGTAAAAAAAAAAAATCAATGAGCTCTCAAAGTGGATGTTGATCTTCGCATTAAGCATCAATAGAAGGATTTGTATGCGGCTACAAGTGTGGCTGTCGGGTAGACTGCACTGATACTTTGAGCTCTAACATTTATGTGCCGTGCATAAAACTTGAACTTCCAGCAATTGGCTTTGGAGTAACGCAACTTTGGCGCGGGTAACCGCCCATCCTTCCCGAAGGTTCAACCCTTCACTGACCGTCCCTCGTGTACACAGGGAGTCAGTGCCAGAGTAGAACACACAATAGACGAGAGCAGATCGTATGAATACTCATTTTAATTAGAGTTTAACATGTTTGTTTCAAGGTTTGCGTTTTTACATTGAGTCGTGTGAGTTATTTTGTATGCCCCCTCCATCTTTCAACAAGTGCATGCTATGGGCCTGAGGATTTGTATTATGAGGCACCTATGTCGTGTATGTATGTCGAACTTCTTTAGCACCGTACGTAGCTTACCACGCTCACTGGAGGAGCGGGGGAAGGACAGCAAATTAAACACACGAAGTTGGAACAAACAATTTTTTTTCAAACCTAATGTAAGGACTTTGATATGTGATTAAATTGTTCAGGGCAAGCCCACCAACAGACAAACTGATCCATGGTATTAGTTTCGTCTTTGGGTTTGTATTTCAATAGACTTTTACTTTAAATACCTTGCTCCAAATCCCTAATGATGTGATTCCAATGTTAAATTAGTGACATGACCTTAACCATTGCGGTGGCACCGTGGGGAGACGTTAACTACCTTGCTTGATATATTGCAGCTCGTGGGTTCGATTCTGACTCTTGACGCCTATATATTTGAAGTTTGCATGTTGTGTGGATTTTTATCCAGGTCCACTGGGTTTTCCCTCCACATTTATAAGCATGCGTTGCGAATATTTGGCTGCTGTAAATTTCGACGTGATAAGCCACTTCGTTGAACTATCATTTGTGGGCAGGTCGCTTTTGAAAGAGTGCTGTCTGACTCGTCGGCTTTACCTGGTAAAAAAAACAAAACTGTTTCGTATTAATATACACCGCCTAAGCTATAGCAAAAAAAAGATCGCAGACGAATATGTTTGTAAAGGGTGGAGCGGCGACATAGTGGTTAGCGCACTGCACCATCAACACCATGTCCAGAGTTCGAGTCCAGGTCACAACTAACATCAGCGGCGAGTGATCCCCGAACTCTCATTATGGACTCACCACTCACCAAGCAGCACTGTTATGGTGAAGTATGACCAAACAACCAACGGTATGGGGGGAGGCCTTCATCCAGCAGTGGATTGACATAGGGCCGTATAAATGTTCGAGAGCAATGGTGTTTCCGAAAGGAGGGTTAAAAAAACCTACTCATATCAATAAACATCATGCAGGTTTCATCGTCTTTGTGTTGCTAACGTGCTGCCAGTTTCCATCTGTAAAGGCAAATAGCTCGTATTCATACGTCACGGGCCAGTCAGGTCTAAGATCCTTACTTAGGCAACGTGTAAAGTATTTAACATTTTACTTCCCAGCACCCGAGGCTCTGACTTACACTGAAAAAAAAAGATCCACATGCACTCAACACGCACACGGATGCTCACGCACACACGCACGCGAAACTGTCATAGATGGAAATGGCACGCAGAATTACGTCGCATTTCATTTGTAACCACCCACAGAATTCAAGCCTCGGGCATTGCTTTGTGACTTTTTTTGTCTCTCTCTCGCTGGTCTCACCGACTCGCACACACGCACACCTGGCAGCTGATGGACACTCGCATTAATTTCATTGAAGGAAAGGTCGCGTAATATTTTTTTGTCTTTAGCAATTGTAAAACAAATTTGTGAGATTTTTTTTCGGAGGTTCGGTGAGCCCTTAGGCACCACTTGGGTTTCTTAGGAGAGCACTCTTAGCACTCATTGTTCTCAACGTGCACATCACAGGGAACTCTCATTCATTTCTTTCTGTTGAGCGGTTTTCAAGATTTATTTCGTATCGAGCGTGCTGTTGATTTTTTTTGACGTTTGCATGCTTGCCCTCTACACTGGACACGCAATCCAGAGGTCGTCGGGTCAAATCAAATCTCCTGGCGCGGCGGTAAAAAATAAGAAGAACGTTTCTTAAATCCACTGCCCCCTCGTTTTGTCTGCCCGGCAGTAACACGAGTAGTAATTTACACTCGAAAGCACCTTTAACCCAGTAGTTTTTACAGAGGTAAAAACTACAATTATATTTACAAAAAAAACCCCAGTAAAAACCGAATAAAATCACAGAGATGAGTGATAAGAACACCCCACCCAATACATTTAAAATCCCAATTGTAAAACAATGTATATTGTTTATATATACACACACGTTTACGTGCTGTATTAATATTTAATTGTATTAATATGTTAGTATCAATATGATTATTAAGATTTTAATTAGTTACTTTTTTATTTTTGAAAGATTTTATCCAGAGTTTGTCGATCGGCAGGTCGCCTGGGGTGGGGTAAAGTGTGGGTACTGCCACTTCTTCCAAGACGTCTGGCCACCGTGGAAGAGTAGGCCAAGTTAGACTCTCTAGAGGGGCTCTTTAGCGCTCTCTCTAGTGGAGGGCCTTCCGCCAGCAGTGGCATGAGCACAAGCAACTGCAGGGCTGCACTTGTATCTTCACCTGTACATCATCTTCAGATGCTCATGGTAATTAAACACTATTTTAATTAAAATATCCACCCGTATTTACCTTCACGTCACTCCCAAGCCACCACAATAATGACAACGCAACGTACGGATGTCCAAACAGTCATTTTTTATTCATCTGACCGTGTTTGAACGTACAAAATTTGCCATGCATGCCAGAGAACAGAATGGTTGTTTAAACGAAAGAACAGTATTCGCATACAATTTTTCATTTCATTACAAACCTCTGTGACATTTGTTAATGCAACCGTGTCCCGTCGAATCAACTCAGGTAGTGCTGTTATTGAGGCTTCCTGCTCGCAACTCAAGACCACGACAACTCATCTCGGTCGGTGGTCCACTCAGCCCTTCATTCCATCGGGGCCGAGGATCCATAAAGCGAGAACCATTACGGGGGAATTCAATAGAGGGCTTCTCTTTGGATGGACTGGGTCTCTGCCGTAAAAAATATGGAATTCCCACCATGGGCTCAGGGCTGTAAACAGAAGATGAACATTGCCACATGCTCATCTAAAAATAAAACCACTTATGTGGTTCCATGCAGAACATTTTTCATTAATGCACTGAGTATAAACAAACAAAATAGAACTCTGTTACAGATGCTCATATACCTTTAAGCATTCAATAATTAAGTGAAATATATATTTTATTTTAAATTCCTTAAAAGACCCTGATATAATTAATATTAAATACACAATCATATTGCACATGTCACCTAGACACGCATGTCGTTTGTAAAAAAACATCAGAACACATTTAAAGAATATGGCAAAGTTACAGTAAAGAATATGGCAAAGTTACAGTAAAGAATATGGCAAAGAGTAAAATGCTATTTTCAGAAACCTCACTTAATGAAACAGTGTTCGGTTAAAACAAACAAACAAACATACGTCGAAAACGATTCCAGAAATGGTACAACGTAACATGTGAACCTTACGACGGTACCCCAGGGTACCATAGTGCCCCGGCTCTCGAATAATGTTCGTGATGCAGTCACGTCTAGTCTGTTGATGGTCGGCGATGCGGCAATCGACTCATATCGACGAGCTGTACACGATGCACTAATCTGAGAAAGATCATGGAAGGTAATGGAGAGAATACGGCAACTTTATAGGAGCTGTGCATTCGCTGCAACTAAAGCTGACCAGCTGCAAAAACACAAGGTACTCTTTAATTGATGGGTTTTTGCGTGATTAAATTTTTTTATATTGATATTGGTGTTATAATAGAAACTTTACTATAGAAAAAAAGAAACGACCAGTTGAAGTAAACTTTCATATATATTTTTGGAATACTGTACAAGAACAAGTCTTTTTAAAGTCCCTGACTTCATCGAGAGCGCTGAGAAAGGCAGATAATGGCCTGGATTCCCAATCACCAAGATCCCACCCAATCAATTGGTGGATACGAGCCTTCAGGGTTTCAGCACAATCATCCTCGCTGCGTTTCGACATCGCGGAGTGGCACTGATTTCGGATTGATTGGTACCCCAGTCGCGGAGTTAAGTACATCCCTGGAAAAAATAGTGTCCCAGAAGTAAAATGTTTAATTGCCTCGGCCATTTTGTATTATTTGGTAGCCCGGGTACCGCCATAAGGATCATATCCGACCGTGCTAATCTGAGGTGCGGGGGAAAGACAACAAACTAACCAAACTAATATCAGTTATAAAGAAATTAGTGTTCAAGCTCGCTTTAAAAGTGAATATTTCCAGCAGGCTTCCTAATATCGGAAGGAAGAGCATTCCAGACGGCCGCAGAAGCGGTGACCGTCTTTATAAGGTAGAGGACTATAATGCAGTGGAGCACATGTTGCTTTAAACGTGAGGAAAACGCCTGACTTTGCTTCAGAAGTGAGCTGATTTACGCGAGGTTACACATCCATTTGTATAAATGTTTGTGCAAAGGTCAGGTTTGTGAATATCTCTATAGAAATGAGAGTTTCAACACGCGCAAATAATGCGCTGGGCGTGGGCAATTAATTGGACAGGGCGGATATGCGACGGTCGGACATGAGACGTTGTACATTGCTGCGTTCAGCTTTTTTTTCTTTCAACATACTGAAATTGCCTCACGAGAAAGTGCCTGAGAAAGTACCGTGCTTCACATGGAGGGTCGCCGACCCAACGTACGCCGTGAAGCGTGCACCGTGGGAACAACAATAAGCGCAAGATCACCCGTTTTCTTTGAAGACTTCAATATTACTTCACCCTTTGATAAACCACCCGAAAAAACAATCACGCCCCAAAAAAAGTGCTCATCGGTAAAAATAAAAAAACACAGAAAGAAGCATTTCGTAATAAATTATCGTTGCTTTGGCGATTGCTCAGCTGAGGGTCAACACAACAAAGTGTGCTGCTGTCTGTCCCCCACGGATTATGAAGGATCTCCCGCACGTAAGCCGTACAAAAAGTACTCGATCAAAAGAGCAATTGAAGGCCTCACCCACTCTCTTGCTCTTTTACGTCAACAAGTTTTAACGAAAGGACATTTTACTCATGGCATTTGGTTCCAGTCCAATGCGGTCCCTTTATTGAAAGACTATAAAGAGCTATATTATATTATTGTAAGCTCAACCTCGAGCAGTAAATCTATGTAAAGTCAATAACACCGTTTAAGCGTAATGCGATAATTGTACACCATTTGATTTTGCCGCGGGGATTATAAATCAGAATTTTGGAAAATATTAAATTAGTTCCTTGATAAATATACCGTAACAAAACCAATATTTGGATTATCTGAATAAATGTTTGCTTTGATTTTTGTTTTATCCCACGCCTCTTATCATTCAACAACTTGTATACACATTCATTCTTTTGCTGTCCGCGTTTGCAAGCTTTAACGAAATTTCGCCAAAGTAAATAACCAAAAAAGTTTACACCGCAACTGCTCGGTGTTTACGCAATTCCGTTCAAGCCCTGCGGCCGCCCTGGTTAACACTGCGGGTGTATAAACCGTAAGAATGCGCGCCGCCGGCTTCTCCCAGCGGATGTTAAAGATGCCCCGACGTCGTCTAAACAACAAATCGGCCATCAGTGTCAGCGCCACGGTCTACATTTTCCACATTTAAAACTAAACCCGCAGATTACCACTGCGAACCTTTGCAGGACCCCTCCTGAAATGCTCAAGGAGGCTCTCATAGATGAATAAGAATAATGCATTATTTTTTTTCAAAAAAATTTGTACTTTCCCAAAAAAAAATCGAATCTACCTCACGTCCATTTACATCATTCCAACCCTGTCTCGACCTCTTTCAACCCAGCATCGGGCGCTGAAACACGCACACGCACGGACACCTCTGCGCTTACTCCAGCCATCCTTTGCGCGGTGGCCTCACTTGCTCGCGCTGGTAAGCATGCTGATGTGAACGTCGCAGATGTCGAACCACTGGTCGGACACGCGCCGGCGCGCCAACAGCCCGTTGTACGGCAGCGCCGGGTTGGCCTGGCGGTCGCGGTCGTCCACCACCTTCCAGAAGTAGTCCCCCTTGAAGAAGAAGATGGCCGTGTGCGTGTACGAGTAGTACACCGCGTCCAGGTTGCCCCCGGGGTGGTCGCCCGCGACCACGGCCGGGAAGACATCCGTCACTCGCTTGGGGTAGCCGCTCACCTTCTGCTGGGAGTTCACGTTGAACGCCGTGACCTGGGGCACGCGCGGGGAAAATGCAGCGTCAGTGTCTCGTTGGAGGGGATTGTCGCGGTGCCGTTCGCATCGCTCGAGGGAGGTGGGGGGGGGGCTGGAGTGCGGGGAAATTAACTTAAGATTCGTCGTAAGTCTTAGGAGGCTACAATTGTGGTACGATCCTAAATGTCGTACGAGGAAACGGATCAGAGTGTATGTGTGGTCGTCGTTCTGTACTCTGGCCCCAGGTCTTAATCAGGCCAACTGCTTGGTGAAGACCTCCTCGTGCCGTGTGGTCGGTCTTGGGGGGTGTTTGTACATACTTCGTCATACTGGTCAATGCGGTATGGTGAAGGCGATGCTCAGGACAAGTTAAAATGTCACTCGCCACTGATGTTAGTCACGGATAGAAACAGAACTCGGGTCGCCGAGCTAAGAGCGAAATGCACTGACTTCATCCAACACACATAGACGATCGTGACTGATGTTTCACAAGGGCCAGAAAGCTCAGATTTCACAGAAATGTAATAGTCACATCTATGTTAATATAACAAGTTGATTCTGATAACCACATTTTTCTAATTTGTCTCCTGTGAAAATGTTAAACTTGCGTGCAGTATACTCATCGTCAGTCATCAGTGAAGCAAGTCATTGGTCTCTCATTAAACGTGACACTAAAGTCGTTAGAAAACTGACAAATCCCACTTTGTAATTATATCCTTATCATGAATCTTATACTTTTGACCAAATCACCCGCAGCGCACTCAATGTCGTCAGATCTCGAAAACTAAGTTTGTATGTTGAAATTATTTTGCACCGTACGTAGCCAACCGTGCTAATCGGAGGTGCGGGGGAAGGACAACAAACTAAACAAAAAACTGTACTAGAGAAATGGGGTTTCAATAGCTTCAATGGCTCTAGTGGCTTCCTAATATCGGAAGGAAGAGCGTTCCAGACGGCCGCAAAAGCGCATCTCAAAGCGTGCGATGCAGTGACCGCCTTTGTTCGATGGCTGAGAGGGTGACTGGAGTTCGTCTGATGGTTTATGCTCCTTGACGAGATCGGCAAGTAGGGTTGAGCCTGGACCACAATACATGCCAGATTGTCATAGGTGGCTGTGGGGTTGTGCCACGTGGTGGTCACCGAGAGGGCAGCGCAGCAAGATCCATCTACACTCTCCTCCGCCTTCACCAATCCGCAGCGATCAGCGCGATGAAGTACGGTGAAATAAAAACTAACGACCCGCACGGTGTGGGAGAGAGGCCCTCATCCAGCAGTGGATTCACCACACAAGGGGCTGTACGCGTATACGCACGTGACTTTCATAAGTGGTTGGTTTATTTAACAAAAAATGACACGCAAATCTACCCACACCTCACATTATATCTATATTTGTACATCTATATGTACACGTGAGTCAAACATTTAATTTAAACGTTTTTGGACTTCACCGTGCTTCGCAAATGCCGGCAAAAAAGTGGCGTGCGCTCTTTGGGTGAAAATCCCCCGTTCAAGAATTTGCCCCCGTTGAGAAGGCGCTCACGTCATTGTTCTTGAAGAAGTAAATGTTGTAGTCGCGGCGGTCGTAGAAGGCGGTGTTGACGGGGTTGGGCACGTTGGGGAACCCGTCCGAGATGAGCTTGGGGTAGCTGACGCCCTGCGGGTCCACCGTGTACACGCGGTCGTTGGTGTTGTCGTAGCGCCAGTACTGGGTTCCTGAAGCGTTCGGGAAGTGCCGTGGTTAATGTGGCAGGACGGTGGCATTTCGTTGGAATAACTGTTGTTGTTGTTGGTTTTTAGAAACAAATGAGATGCTTAATAATGGTAGTAGTAGGTTTTTACCCTTTAAACTGGTACAAAACTGACACCTTTAAACAAGACATCATGTTTGCAATAACCACAACACAAGCAGTCAAAATGCAAACAAAAAAAGAAACAACTCTGATAATGGTAATGATATGCACTGTCCTTGAAGTTGATTGGTCCACACCCGAGACAGCTTTCCTTAGAGCCTAGTCTTGCAAACATGATGCCTTGTATAAAGGTGTCAGTTTTTGTACCAGTTTAAAGGGTAAAAACTTACTACTATATTTTGCCACTGGTAAAGGAGGTCTCATAGTATACTTAATAATGGTTACAGATGGGTAAATATGGGGGGGTGGGATTCTGCTGTGGTGGCAATGGTTAGCGCACTGGGGGTTTGCAATGCAAGGGCAGCCGGTTTGATCTCCCTGCACGACACTTGAAACCATGGGGCAAGTTTCTTAAGTCTCCACCCCCCCTTCTATCTGTCCACCGAGCGCTATGAATTATTACACCACCGTAGGCCGATTGGCACGTTGTGTGTGGCGGGGTAGGGCATGGGTACGACCACCTCTTGTGAGAGAACTGGGTCCATATGGAAGAGTAGGTCGAATGCCCTAGAGTAAAGTTCCTTGTGCCAGCAGCGGTATGAACCAGCCAACACAGAGATGCACCGGTACGGTTAGCTTTCCACGTTTAGCAGTTCATTCCCATTGGATATTATAAGCATGGAGTGCTATGGTGGTGAGATGTGAACTCCCTCGCATGGTATACCGGAGGTCATGGGTTTGATCTCGACCCTGAACGCCTGTATATTTTAAGTTTGCATGCTCTCCCTGGATACTCCGGTTTTTCCCTCCGCAATTAGAATCAAAATGCACTCAGAGGTTTTTTGGCTGCTATAAATTTCCACATGATCAGCCACTTTCATTCAGTTATCATTTGTGGCCAGGTCGCTTCTGAAAAATATCTATACAGTATAACTCAGTGGACCTTACCTGGTAATATAAAAATAGTTTAATAGTTTATATAGTTATATATATTGGGCATTTTTTCCATAAACATATACTGTAACAGTTCAATCCGAGCCATTACTGCTTTGATAATTGCATTACCTTTGCACTATTTGCCTTTTGGCGTTCTCTGGTCTAATACTGGTGATACAAGGCCATAAAGAAGGCTGTCTCTGGTGTAGGCAAATCAGTTTCACAGACAACGCAAAAATTATCAGAGCACGTTTGTTTGCAAGTTTTACGACGAGTATGTGTGGTTAATGCAGACTTGATGCCTTGCAATAATATATCTATTTGGCGTTTGAACATCTTAACACCTCGATTTGAAGCTTCCGTGACTGCAGGAATCCATACTCTTTGGTTCTTTCGGTAAAGCCACGTAGGTATGAAATCAAATAAAATCATGACGTTTTGGGCGCAACACAAGCGTCCGTCATCAGGTGGGAAAGCATGATCTGTTGCTGCCTCAGCATGATTTGCTGCTGAGCATGATCTCCTGCTTATACCTACCGAAAGAACCAAAGAGTATCTTAACACCTGTTTTATTCATCAGTTTAAATATTTTTAAATATCTTCATGGTTCAATTCGATAAGGGGGGGGGGGGGGTGGGGGTAGAGCAATGAATCGAACTGGCGACCGGTGCTCTCACGACGCCACCACACGGCACCGCTCCTCTCGAAGCCCTCCTCGAGTGCAAACTCGTGCTCAGGCACCTTTGAAGAAGTAGGCGGCGTTGATGTTCCATGTCCACACGTGCACGTAGGCGTCGATCGCCGAGTCGGGGATGCCTCGCCAGCCCACGGACAGGGCGATGGGGTCGCCGAAGCGCGTGCGGTTGTTGCGGTTCTCGTACATCCAGTACCAGCGGTCGCGGAAGAAGTAGGTGTTGAAGCGCGTGACCAGCACGCCCAGCTGGTTGCGCTCCTGGCGCACCCAGTCGAAGACGGTGGAGAAGGAGCCGTCGCACACACCTGCGGAGTGACGCGTGATCGCGGTGTCACTCCTCGACCGAACGCACGCCGTGCGACGAACGTGAGTCGTGTTTCCCGTGAAAAAACAATGGCTTTCGGCCGATATAAACAGGGGGACGAAGGCTCCTTGCTGGATTAAAGTGCAGGTTTTCAGATTAGATTCTGTGTGTTATAATGTTGGCAGCGGGGTTGTTCCAGTGGCTCGTGCATTGGGTTATGAACTCTGGGTTTGATTCCATTCACGCGGCTAACATCAGTGGCGAGTGTTATCTGGCTACCTCTTCACCAACCTGCGGTGACCAGCATAGTAAAATATGGTCACACAGCCTCCACGACCGATATGACGTGAAGAGGACTTGACTTGTCCGTGAATTGACAAAAAGTCTGCAAACTATTTTTTTATAAATGCATTTTATTTACCCAGGAAAGTCTCACTGAGCATTGTTATTATTATACTGTAAATGTCACTTAAGTTATTGACTCATTTAACAGAGTGGGAGCAGAGAGTCATAGCTCCTGTAATAGAAACAGTTCCTTGTTTATTTTTAGCTTTAGGTGTGGCTAATTTTCAAACTTTACGCTTCACAATGGTCTACTCCTGGGAAAGATGGCACGCGATGGCCATACATGGCAGAGCTTTTGGCAATTTTCTGCATAAATGGCTTCGTGGCAGCCAGGATTAAACTGTTGGCATCGTGGCGATGTTGCAGTGACCACGGGACAATGAAGCTCACGCGGGAGATTTACGGTCGAACAATACCTACGAGTAATAGAAAATGGAATAAAAGCCAAGAAAAGGTGTTCAAAGAGACGCAGAGAGAAAGAGAGAGAGGCAGGCGCACGCTTGGAATTACATTGAGAGTACAGGAAGAGGAGCACAAACATAAGAGAACATATGTAAATTAGAGACATTTGATAGACTTTTAAGAGAAATACAATGCAATCGTCAATGTCGCTGTGGTCTTAAAATGACAAAAAAACATTTAATAGGCGATGCTTCGGGCAATGGCTCATCTTCATAGCACATTAATTTAGATGAATCAGTGGGCTGTGGCAGGACACGTTGCTTGACAGGACCATGTCCAGTGATTGATGGAAGACTGTCGATTGTAACAGCCAAAGGAGGGGAGTTCATGCCTAAGAGAACACGTCCATCGTGGAGATGGAGTGTGCCTACAAGAGCTACGTGCATTGTTGCATTTCAAGACCACGAGAGACGCTGAGAGCTTGGGGAGCTCTTGATCCAGCAGTGACTGCTGATCGATGTGTGATATATAGATGACATCCTTGTCCGTCTAGAGTTGCTCACCTTTGTTCCACAATCACATACACTCTATGCTATGTGTACATATACTATATATCGAGTGCATAACTATACTATATACCGTGTTTACATAGAGAGTCAGATTCTTCAGAGTGAGAATCTTTATATGTCCAGGAGAAATCTGATGAGCTATGAAGCTTGACTTAAAGCTTTCGTGACTGCAGGAATTCATATTCTTTGGGTCATTCGGTAAAGTCACATAGATAGATTGAAAGAAAATAACACACAAATAACCAAAAACTACGACGTTTCGATCGCAACACAAGCATGGTCGAAACGTCGTAGCTTTTTGTTATTTTCTTTGAACATATCTACTTGACTTTACCGAGAGACCCAAAGCATATGATCTGTGAAGCTCTTTTTCACAGATGTCCAGTTGGGGCGGATCAGAAAGTCACAACAACAAAAATACCCAAATAAACGATAGCAGTGAAAAGTATAGGAAAGGTAAACAAATCACTCCAAATAAATGCGTAGAATACATACAAATATATAAGTTCACATTACATACACTATACGCCGTGCATAATCCGATACGAGAGGTCTTTTGAGAATGACCCTCTAATGGAGGTCACATTGACCAAATGTCAAACTTATTATGAAGCCTATCATTATGTAATAATCAGACAATTGAAAAGTGAGTTGATGCTCGCTAGGGGTGACTGATCGAGACAGAAAGCAGTGCGTGTGAATGTGAGTGCTTTTTCACAGAATATCGCATTGTGCGTCCGACAGATTTTTTTTTGACCATCCCGTGTTTGTGAATTATGTAACGTGTGGAGAGTATTTTTAAACGCGAACAGCTGGTTCATGTGGGGTCGCGGAGAATGGAATTGATTGTGTTTGGACTACAACAAAACATTAAGTGCAATTTACAAACTTGCAGTCACCAGAAATTACATCGGCTCACATAACCGGCTTGACCAGTGGACCAGACCACCACTGGTCCAGTGTCCTCGACTTAAACTCCCAATATAATGGAACAAGCACCATCTGCAGTCACCTTAAACCTGTGTTACCTATTTATATTTTAGAGGTCTCAATGTTATTTTTGGCCCATGGACATTTTTATTTGATCTCACGCGCCCTACGTAAACACTATTATTCCATACTTTCACGTGTCCAGTTAATAATTCATCAAGGATTTTCTGAATGCGTTATACATGGGATTTTTTTTTTTATAACTAAGCACAGAAGGGTCATACAAGATCAGAATCAGTCTGGGCTTAAGATGGAAATGTACGTGACAGGTTTATTTTATGTTACTTACAATTTGAGGATATGACACCAACATGTGTATACTGGAATAGCGCCCTAGGCAGTATGAGAATCATTGATAAGATTTTAAGTTTTAGAGAATGTAATTTTAAGCCTTCCTCTTAAGTCTATATTTGCTCTTTATGTAAAAAAGTATGCATTCTTCAATAGCAGAGCCAGTTTAGATACCACAATATTGAAATTCATATTAAAACAAATATTTGATTTATCTTATAAATGTATGTGTCATGTCAAACTGCTTTTGTATTATATTCTTGGTTCTTTCGGTAAAGTCACGTAAAGTCACGTAATACACAGCTGTGGATTTCACACCTGATGACGATTGCTTGTGTTGCAGTCGAAACGTCGTGAGAATTTAATTGTTTTATATTTTATTATTATTTTATTATTTCACTTCTACGTGACTTCACCGAAAGAATATGAATCCCTGCAGTCACGAAAGCTTTAAATATTTTTATTTTATTTTGTATTGTACGTTGCCAACTGTGCTAATCGGCAGTGTGGGGAAAGAACGAATTTTTTTTTTGCGTTTAGTTTATTGTCCTTCACCTGTACATCCGGTTAGCGTGGTCGACTACGTACGGTGCGAAGGAAGTGCAACATACGTACATACAAAGCGTTTGAAGGATGACTTAAATACAAATCGAATTGCTCCTTTATAATCATAATCACGTGACTAGCATGCTCCACAATGACAATTCATCGCATCGCCGAAACGCACTCGACGATTCATTTTTCTACTCTTAGTTCTTTCGGTAAAGTCACGTAGGTAAAAAATGACGTTAAAATTAATAAAGAAAAATCACGACGTTTCGGAGGCAACACAAGTCTCCGTCATCAGGTGGGACCGTCACAGCCAGATTTGCTGCATCAAGTGAGGCAAGGATTCAAGATGTAAACCTTTGCCTCACTTGATGCAGCAAATCTGGCTGTGACGGTCCCACCTGATGACGGAGACTTGTGTTGCCTCCGAAACGTCGTGATTTTTTATTTTTTATCGTTTTATTTTTATTAATTTTAATGTTATTTTTTACCTACGTGACTTTACCGAAAGAACCAAGAGTATGAATCCTTGCAGTCACGAAAGCTTCAAATCTAGGATTCATTTTTCGCGCGTCGCCTCGTTTTGTTCCGCTCGCAGACTTCCGTGGCGAGCCGCCGCCGGCACGTACCGTATATCTGTTGGATGGCTTTCCTGTCGAGCCACTCCAGCTCGAAGCCGTTGTCCTGCGGGATGTAGTTGGGCTGCATGATGGAGCCCTGACGCGTCAGATGCGGCAAGCCCAACACGTGGCCAATCTCGTGCACCGCCACCTGTGACGTGAGCGCACAAAGACAACCCCCACCCCCCGCATCGCCTTTAATAGACTGCTGAGGCAAGTGCCGTTAGCGAGAAGCTATACGTGGCCAACGTATACGAGGGGGGGGGGGGGGGGTGACCAACACCACGCCCAGCTGCCTTTGTCTCCCCAATGCTGATGTTTAGACACACGCACACCAGGTGCTCGTTTTACGGCTGAGTCGACCTCGGGGAGGCCCAGGGCCGGTTCAAAGTTTTGCCATTGGTTTTGGTCGTGAGCGGGAATCGAACTCAGGTCGCCGGGTTCGTAAGCGCAGTGAGCAAAGTACTACACTGCCGCTCCCCATTTGGGGGGGGGAGTGTGAGCATGCACGCACACACAGCCACGCTCCAATCAACAACCTAAAACTACAGCTACAACAAGTTGATAAAAATCATGCCACACGCATGGATTTCGTAATGCTTTCCCACATGCGATTGTCTTCATTAGCAGTGTGGCTGGTTTTCAAAGCGGTTGGTCCCAAATAGCAGCACAATCCTATACTGCAAGATCATTCACGTTGGGTCATCTTCATGAGAGATGTAATGCCCGCTGTTACAGATGGACAGACAGACAGAGCTGATGCTTTAACGCCTTTAAGATGAATTTGGAAAGTGTCAAAACAATCGCTCATCATGTTCAGCGTTAACACTGCCTTGTTACAGAAGTATATGATCACCGTGCCAGGCATGGGCGCCGTGGTGGCAAGATGTTAACTACCTCGCCTGGTATGCAGGAGGTCGTGAGTTCGATAGCGACCCTGACGCCTGCTGTATATTTGGAGTTTGCACGTTCTCCCCGTGGTCACATCGATTTTTCTCCGGGCCCTCCGGTTTTCCCCTCCACATTTAGAAACTTGCGTTTTGAGTATTTGGCTGCTATACATTTTCACATCATAAGCCACTTCATTTGGCTATCATTTGTGGCCAGGTCGCTTCTGAATAAGAGCTATACAGCTCAGTGGGCCTCACCTGGTAAAATAAAAATTGTTTTGTTTTTAGATTTTGTGGCCATGCCTCACCATACTAGTAATCACGGAGTGGTAAAGGTTTGATCGGATCAGATAAATTTATCATTGGCCACTGATGTTAACCGTGGCAGGGATTCGAACCGAGGTCTCTGGGTTCACAGCGCAGCACGCTAACCACTGCACCGCTGCAGTGTTAACGATGGTGTTGATAAAAAAAAATTCTCTTTTAATTATTTAAAAAAAATTTACTTTGGTTATTTAATTTGATTGAGAACATCCATTCGCCATCCAGTGTCAGCTCAAGACAACGCACGAAATTATGTTTCCCAGTAGTCTTTACAGCTATAGCAAGCTCCATAGCACCCTCGTTCATATATACAACAACAATCTCATGAATTACAATTTTAAGTTTAAAATCATAATTCAGTCGTGCTTATCATCATCACATCACGAGACGAAAATATTCAAAAATATTCAAGTCCGTGCAACAATGCCCCGACTTAGAGCTTCGCCTTTGCAAGGTGACACCACAAAACCGCTCAAGAGATTGCTTCAATTTCCAAACCACCTTCTCACATGCCCTGCAATATAGATGTATTCATCATATGGAGATCCTGCCAAACAAGCTGTATTCCACAGTTCTGGATATATGCTGAATTCCACAAAAATATACTTTGATACAATGTTTTTTTTTTGGTACTTGCACGGGTGACTGTACGATCGTATATTGGTGCTGAAATTCAGTGTTTTATGGTACTCATTCATTACAGCCCCATTGGTGCCTGAGTTAACTGAACCACTTTTACAATAACTTAAACTAATCTAGAGCATAGCTTCCAAACTATAAATGGCGATATAAATAAGCAGACGATGACTGCTTCACATATCCGTCTCTTACAGAACCCATCAGCTGCATGGCCTTCTGGGAGTATTTGAAATGATGCGCTCCCAGGACGTAATGCGACTGATTAGTTTTATAATAAAAATTTAAAATGTTTGCATGAAGAGATCGATAAACGAAGGAGACATTATTGCTTATTGATTGTGTTATTCATACATGTGTGGGGATTGTCATTTTATTTAACGTGGCTCTCATTTTACATATTTAAGAGGCTGCCGATCCCTTTTATGACTTGCTGTGCCTCTTCTTGGTTCTTTCGGTAAAGTCACGTAGAAGGGAAGTAATAAAATAATAAAATAAAACATAATAAAATAATTCTCACGACGTTTCGGCCACAACGCAAGCAGCCGTCCTCAGGTGAAGACCATGTCTGTCGGGGAGACAGCGTCTGAATGCCCGACAGACCTGGTTTTCACCTGAGGACGGCTGCTTGCGTTGTGGCTGAAACGTCGTGAGAATTATTTTATTACGTTTTATTTTTATTATTTTATTATTTCCCTTCTACGTGACTTTACCGAAAGAACCAAGAAGATGAATCCCTGCAGTCACGAAAGCTTTAAATCGAAATTTAAGTTTGTATTTGCTTGTTTACGCACACGCTGCATTGCATCAACGCTGATTTTGGCTCGTGTGCCAGTCGTTTAACAACAACAACAACGAGGGTGGCTGCTGCCACGTTTGCGGTGGGCTGGGTGCTGGCGCGGCGAACCTTGAGCAGGCTGATGCCCTGGTCGCTCCGCGGGGTGCTGAACTGCTCGTCGTCGTCAAAGTGGACGTCTCCGAGGTGCCACGCGTGGGCAAACTCCTGCCCGCTGCCGTCAAACACCTGGGAGCAGCCCAGGTGACGCCCTGAGGTTTGATCGCGCACACACAAAAAAAACACACAACGACGATCGCACCCACCAGCTGGGTTTTTTTTTTATCCCGGGCGTAGACTGCTGGGGTCAAACGCTGTTGATGTGAAAGAAAGAAGAAAAACACATTTTGCGAGACATCAGAGAATGCGTCCGCAAATCTGGTCAAGTGAAAACTGACCGCACGTGCATCCTTGACACGCACGCGTGACGGACGCAAGGCACCAGAAGAGCCGCAAACGTCAAGTTGCTTTTTTTCTGGACACTCTGCTTCTTTTCAAACTGGTTTTCTCCTCCCTCCCCCTCCTTTCTTGTGTTTTGTTAATTGAAACCGAGAAACTGTGACACCGTCACGTCACCATTTGTCCAGATGGCCGCCGAGATTACAACTCGTCCCTGCTGCGCTATGAATCACGCCGGCAGAATGCACCTGGAGGCACGCCGCACGCGATACAGTTTCATTCCTGTCCTGCTATCGCCTTACAAGGGACACAGCCAAGCGAGGCACATGTTGGATCATTTGTTATGAGGATATTGTTTTTCTTTCCTCTATCATCATCAGCATCAGCAGCAACAGCAGAATCAGGCGTGGTTAATCCACTGCTGGATGAAGACATACCCACGTGGTCGCTATCTCCCACGATCCCGCGATGTAACAACAACAACAATATTGTAAACAACGCTTGCACAACAGTTCCTTTCGTCGCTCCATCTCCCGAGTAGACGTACTTCCTCCCCTCCCCCCTTCCTTCCTCGGCGGCCACTCGGTCATTATTCTCGGTCAATCGAGCGGGCAGTACGCAATATCCTTTAGGCACACATGTCGTGACTGTGAAGTCGCGCGTGTCACGTTGGACTCAAGAGTGCACTTGTGTGTACGTGCAATAAGCCCCGTATCGACTGTGCTGTGTGCATTAGGCTGCACGGAATTAAAGTCGCTCGTCGACAAGTTAAGGGGGTTTAAATTAACAGTGAAGAGTACAAACGCCCGTTCACCGCCGTGGCGTGGAGTATTAATAGCTCCGTTCGCTCACATCGCTGAAACTCCCGTCAACGGATTCGCACTTTCGTGATAGGACGCGACTATTTTTAGCCTGGCCGACGAAACAATAATGGAATTGTGTCTCGCCTGTCACAAAAGAAAGTGAGTGAAACGGAAGCACTTATTTGTTTATTTACACGCTATAAAGAGGGAGGATTGCCCGAAACGTCGCATATGATTTCTGTTTTTGTACCTCTTAAGGCCACACAGTGTTATTGAGTGTTGAGTTTGTTTTTCTAATCGTGTCCTTGTGCCAACGCAGTAGCAGCATCACCAACTCATTTTTTTCGGTCTCTACTATGTCTCTTGCATCAATTGTATAATGTGTCACGTGCACGACCGAATAACTTAATCCAAGGCGCATAACACTGTCTGCATGCATCATATCGAGCACAGTGCTACCTATCATGACCGGCACCGTTTCTAGCTAATGACACTGACCAACGTTACCCGTTCTGACCACGTACTCGCTCCTTTTTTTTAATTCACGCAGGACGAACATTTAATAAGAATGCTTACATTAACATCGATCCAATATACGACGACGGTTCACTAGGACACGTGCCATTTGTCCCACGGACGCCTAGTAACGCGGACCGGCTCGATAATGGGGGACCGCTCCAACTTTATAGGGGGCCAAGCGAGTTCGATAGCGGATCCCTGGCGGCTGCTTATCAGCAAATCAATCAATAAGTCATCCGTCATCGAGTTTTCTTTTGGGCTAGATCACGTAAATATAAATGTGTCGTTAAACCCGCCACCATCCGACACAGCCAATTAGTAAGGTTTGTCGCATAAACAAAACCTGCCAATTCGTTACTAGTTCAGCACACCGGCGTGTCGGAGAGTATACGCACAGCATTTACCATTCAATTACCGTGACGTTTCGCCGGTAATTGCTACCAGCATCATCAGGCGACAGCCAGAGTTGGTCGCGAAAGCATACTGTGTGTTAAATGAACAAGTCAGCCGACCACTCCAATCGCTCAATCAATCACCTGTTCCGAATCCCAACTTGATGTCGATGTCTGTGGAGGGCGACTTGAGGTCTTCCTCGAATATGAGCGGAATGACCTCGCTCCACATGCGGAACGCCAGCCTGACGATGAACCTCTGCTCCTCCGTGGTGAACTGCGAGCTGTAGCCCTCGCCTATGAGGCGCCACTTGAGGTTGCTTTTGGGGAACGCCAGGCCCGGGTTGAGAGGGGCATCGACCACAACGGCCCGACGGGACCGGGCGTGGGTCACCAGGTCAGCCAGCAGTCCCCGAGAAGCGGTTGTTGCTCCATCACTCCTCGAGTTGTTGTTGCTGTTGCTGTTGTTGCTGCTGCTGCTGTTGCTGTCGCTAAATTGTGTTTCGTTCACGGGCCTCGTGCTGCTGCTGCTGCTGTTGTTGCGCGCCTGCTTGTCTGGCACGCCGCAGCGAGGTTTGTTCATGGCCGCTTTGGTCTCTTCGTCGAACTGCCCTGTCTGGGGCAGCCCATTGGCGGCCTGGAAGTTCTTGAGAGCAGCCACGAGGTACGGGGATTGGGTTGGGTCGGCCTTCGTCTCCTCCACCTTGTCACGGCTCACGGTGTCACCCTCGGACAACGAGTCGATCACGTTGCTGGGTGCCGGGTCATCGTTCAGCGGAATGGACACGTTCTCGTACTCAATGGCTTTCCAGTTGACGGGCTTTACCCAGCCGTACTTGAGCAGGTATTGCTGTCCGGCCACCCCACACACACACACACGCGCACGCGCGCGCAACACAACACACACACACACAGATGGTTTAATTCAGGCAGAGCGCATGCACAGCTTCGAATGGATGTGCAACGTGAAATAAGCGCAGCGAGCAATGACCATATCGCAATCGGGCGCAGGTGACGATGCGTTTGTGCTCGTGATATAAATGCAAGTTTTGAAGATTTCAGGTTTTTTTTCGAGGGGAGGGGGGCGGGGGGGCTGCCGTGGAGTTGTCAAAGCGGAGTGAGAACGCTACGGTATTTAAAACGTGCCGAGCTGGGTACGCAATGCCCGCGACGCATCGCGAGCAAAACAGCGCGTGTCGACTGACGCGCGTGCGTAAGGACCCGACGTTCATACTACTTGGACACAAGCCGGTTGTTTTAATTAGACACGACCTCGTAGTACGGGTAGTAGTACAATGAAAACAACAACACTGACGACATTGATGCCCTGAAGTGCCGCGACGCGGCGTGACACATTCGCTCGTCCCGTGCGCGAAAACGGAGCCGCGCGTTCCGCGAATGCGTCGGCTGGCGGGCTCGGAGAGGAAGCGCGCGAACGATGGACAGGGCGCGTGGATGCGTCTGGCGAGTTTTGCGACGACCTTTTTATTTTTTGTGTGCGCGTGCGCACGCGTGTGTGCGCGTGTGTGTGCGGGTGTGTGTGCGTCGGGCGTAACCAACGAGTCTCGAGGTGCTCGCCGCCCGAGACTCACCTGCACGGACTCGGTGTCGTCGATGAGGTCGGCTTCGTTGTCCGGAGTCTGCTGGATGTCGCCGTGGTCGCGGTCGTGGAAGAGTTTCTCGGCGCGCGCGTTCACCAACAGGAGCGCCGCGCACATCGCCAGGTGCGCCGCCGCTGGCATTGCCGTTGCAGGGTTTGACAGCGTTGATGACAGAGCGACGCTACGAACTCACCGAAAGAATAACAACGACGACGACGATACGAATAAAATGCCGAGAGGACAAACAGCCAAGAGGTGACGGCGAGCGAGACGAGACGAGCCTCTTGTGTCGCAATCACAGCAGCAGCAGCGGCAGCGGCAGCGGCGGGTGTCTCTTGTGGACGAAGCGGATGGCGTGCGGGGTTTTTAAAGCGCGCGGCGCGAAAAGTGCGATGTCATGTGGGAGCTTTGAGTGGCTCGGAGAGTCCGTGACACTCGAGGCGACGAGATGGGGATAGCGTCGAGCCCTTAGAGAGGAGGGAGGAGGGTGGGTGGTGGCTCAAAGAGGAGGTGGCGGTGGGGGGGTGTGCTGGGTGGTAACAGATATGTGTCGTCTTCGCGTGCGTGTCCGTGCCGCCAGCGACAAGGGCGGAGGGAAGCATAATAATGTCCGTGCGTGCGTGTAAGTGTGTCAGGGTGTATGTAGGTGTGTGTCAGGGTGTACGTGGGTGTCAGTGTGTCCAAGGGTGTACGTGGGTGTAAGTGTGTCAGGGTGTGTGTGGGTGCAAGTGCGAGGCTTTCCTGGGTAAATCTTTTGCAATAGTGTAGTAGTCGTAATAATAATGATGATGAAATGTATACGCGCACAATATTTCATAGACATAAAGGACCGTGACTCCGAGAAGCAATTGCGATATGAATAATATTAATTAAATTATTTACCCTAATAATAATAATACATCGTCTTGGTTCTTTCGGTAAAGTCACGTAGAAGGGAAATAATAAAATAATGAAAATTAAACATAATAAAATAATTTAAAAAACATTATTATTTTATTATTTCCCTTCTACGTGACTTTACCGAAAGAACCAAAAAGATGAATCCCTGCAGTCACGAAAGCTTTAAATCTAAATATAATAATACATTTTAATTAATTATTAATACAATTATCATTAAATGCAGCCCTTTGTCAATCCGCAACTGGATGCAGTTCTATCCGGGCCGTGTCAATGACGAGGTTTAGTTCGACCCTAATTCACCACGCGATGCTGTGGACTCGTTCACTGCTGTCAGCCGCGGTCTCGGAATCGAACTTAGGTGGCCGGGTTTGCGACGTAACGCACTCACCACCGTGCCGCGGTCACTGCTCGCATGAACTTGACTTGTTTGTTTGTTGTAGTACAGAGTTAGACTGATGGCCTTAATCTAAGTTGTCTTGTGGTTGTTGTTGTTGGACTTGCATCCCACTGGGATATTTGCACAGGGTTGGTGTACGGTGATTTTATCTGCAATATTTTGCTGTCTTTTCTTGGATTTTCTGTTTGCACATAGTCACTTAAAGATGTTTTCTTGTTCATGTTTTTGTTTTTTGTTTGTTGCGGTTGCACCCGATTCAAGAGCCGAATGGCTCACAGGGCTACACCTAATCAATGAACTTGAACTTGTTGATTCCTCCACCCATGGTCAGGACTCGTTTGACCTGAATGTTGCATCACCACCGCAAACACTGCACGTCACAGCCATTTTCTATCTACTGCTCATTTCCATCGCACTACGCTGGAAAAAAAAATCTCTCCCGCGTCGTCTCTTTTCCCAAGTTCGTCGAATTGGCTCACTTGCGGAATCGTATTCACTCTTATTTATTGCACTTTCAATCGTGCTGTTTGTTGCTGGGCACTTGGCGTCTTGCGCCTGTGCTCTGCGACCTCGATTTAAACACAGTGCACACGTAATGCACTGTACTTAGTTGCTGCATGGGTCTCATGATCTGAGCATGCTTTGTATGCACGTTGAACTTCTTTCACACCGCACGTATCCGGCGGTGCCAATCGGAGGTGCGAATGATGAATGACGTGCACGATGTACGGATGCTGCGAGAGAGTGGCGAGCGAATGCAAGACGGTCGTTGCGTGCGATTGACGAGGAAGGGGGTTTGACCCGTAACCTTCCGGGAATTTTTACGTGCGTTCGAGGTGCGGGAATCGATGCGTAGAGAACTCTATCACAATAAACCGCGTAGTGTTGATATACACCTTAGGTCGGCAAGCTGAGGTTCAGGAGCCGCATACCACTCTCGAACGACTGGCTTCGTGATGTTCTTTTTAAAAGGTCCGTCTCGTATTCGCATTGCATTGGCGGCTCTTGAAATATCGAGGGGTCTTTTTTTTCATTTTTTTTTACAGAATTTGAAAAAAAAATGTATCTTCTTGTTATTTGGGTTGTCGACCCCTGCCGTCGGCTGACTGAGAAATATGTCCGTGTTTGGACTACGGTGTCAGCTGTGGAAATTCTTGTCGTTAATAATAATAATGGGGATGTTTAACAAAAAAACGCACTTGGGTGTCGAATTTCTGGCGCGTTACGCAATCAGCGAGGCAACACGCGAGTCACGTTGGGACTCGGTCACGTTCGGATGTTGCGAGACGTCGTTGCCCCAAGGTCATTCGGCAGCAGCGAGGTCCAGGACGATGGGTCCCAGCTGTTGAGACGGCACGTGGGGGGTCCATTTGTCTTGGGTGGCACGATTAGGTGGTGGTCGTACTTAGCAGACCCAAGATGTTTTGCTGGTGTTCTTAGTCCGCCACTGGCAACACACATCTCCGACAAGTACGGCGGTGGTGTGAGAGGTCTTGCGGACAATTGTGGACGGTCAGACAGTTTCTTGTGTAAACTGAACTAAAACTAAACAAATAATGAATCACGTCGTTTCGATGGTACCACAAGCAATCGTCAGCAGGTGAAAAGATACAGCAGTTCTTCTGCAGTTCTACTGCTGTATCTCTTCACCTGATGACGTCGTGATTTATTATTTATTTTTTCTACCAACGTGACTTTACCGAAAAAACCAAAGAGTATGGATTCTTGCAGTCACGAAAGCTTCAAATCGAGATTAAAACTGAACAATTTTAATTTTACAAGGTAAGGCCCACTGACCTATATAGCTCTTTTTAAGAAGCGACCTGGCCAAGAATGAAAAGCTTATCATGTGGAAATGTATAGCGGTAAAATACTCTAAACACACGTTTCTAAATGTGGATGGGGGTACTCGGAGTATCTGGAGAAAGATCCTCGCGGTCACGGGGAGAGACATGCAAACTCCAAATATACAGGCATCAGGCTCGGGATTGAACCGACGACCTCATGTATCTCAGGCGAGGTAGTTAACATCTCGCCACCGTGGTGACGAGTTACGTTGCCTAAAGCCTTCATGCCAACTTTGGTCATCATCACAGCAGCGGCTTTTGGCTAACGATCTGACAAAGACGGTCACTGCATCGCGCGCTTTCAGATGTGCTTTTGCGGCCGTCTGGAACGTTTTCCTTCCTATGTTGTATTAGGAAGCCGCTGGGAGCCATGCACTTTAAGATCTAGATTTAAACTAATTTATTTAGAACAGTTTTTTGTGTTTAGTTTGTTGTCTTTCACCCGCACCTCCGATTATCACGGTTGACTACGTACGGTGCGAAAGAAGTTCAACATACATACGTGGATACACGCAGAGGCAGGCTGTCGCGAATCAGTTAACGAATGCCGTTGCTTGACCACAGGATAAGAGCAAGGACACGTTGCAGGCCATGCCTGGCAAGGGAGCCTCCATCCTCTAGCGTGGGGCAAGTCTGTGTAAATCACGCGTCCACGTTTCACTCTGCGAGCCATGCGATTAAGTTCGGGCGTAGCGCGACTTAATAACCGCTCAGTCCGCCGGAGAGCGGGCGTAGGACGCAATTGCTCGGTCCCATCGTGTGGTTCTCAGCGACCGGGTTTGCTGCTCTCAAGCGGTCCCATGGGGAACGCCGTTGTTTTCTTGGTAAGATCAAAGCCGCGCGGAGCAGTGGCACGGGAGTGAACGGGTGGATGTGTGTGACCGACGCCGAGCGAAAGAATTGGAAGGGAGCTGTCGTCAGTGCGACGAACATTGGGGAAGGGCGTGCCTGGTATAAGCACCATGGCCACCCAAAGAGGCACCAACACACAGGGCCCATTTTTGTTGTTGTTGTTGTTGATGGTTCTTGTCCAACACAATATGGCAATTTTGTTCACAATTGCTATTATCTGCTTGGGTCCTGTGCGGTCATACGCTAATGTTTATTTTTGTTCTATTTAAAAATACCCCCACCCCCCCATCATCCATCACAGTACTGTAGTCTAAAAATAACGTATCAGACCTACACCCCCATATTTGCTTTCATGAACCAGCGGTGCTGGTCAGGTGAATTCCAGGAAGGCCGTGTGATCGACGGTTTGTGTAGACATTGTGTTATTTGTACTTGTGTGGAGAGGTAGGTATGCGAAGTGAGGGATTAGTCGCTTTAAACTAGATTCGAAGCTTTCGTGACCGCAGGAATTATTCTTTGGTTCTTTCGGTTAAAGTCACGTAGGTAGAAAAATAATAGATCACGACGTTTCGATCGCTAACACAAGCAACCGTCATCAGGTGGGACAACCACAGCAAGAAAAAACTGCTGAAGTAGGCGACAGATCTGCCGTGGCACGAGGTTATGTAGGCCTCGGCAGTAGGGGGGGGGGGGGAGAGAAGGGGGGGAGGAGGCGGGGCAGAAAGTGGACCCCGCAGCAGCACCCGGGTCACTGGAGTAAATTGGACCACCACGGCAGCACTGGATAGGTCGGCTGCAGGGGGGGAGAGAGAAGGGGGGGGGGGCAGATCGGAGAGAGATGCATAGAGAGAGAAAGGCACACAATAGAGTCGGAAATAACAGCTGTATGGAAACATCACAGTCAGTTAAGACTTTACCTGGTTAATAACGTCCTTCCAATGATTGCTCAGTGTGTACCCATCTTCTCGGTTGAAGTTGTGTCTGTGTTTATATATCTGGATGGCTTCATGAACAAATGTCTGATAATACCCGGTGGATTTGCAGAGTTCCTCCGTCTTGGAAAAATCTATTTCGTGTGAGCCCACAGCGTTAAAACAATAATCAGCAACGGCAGAGGTATTGGTCCTACCGTGTTTCAGATCTGCCTTGTGTTCACGAACGCGGTCCGAGACATGTCGTTTCGTTTCCCCAATGTAACTGTTGCCGCAGCCACAACTCAGTTTGTAGACACCCGGGTATTGCATATCAGGAATTCATATCCTTTACAGATGGAATCAAATCACGGATTTTGTGTACTGTGTTGAAACGGACCTGGATCTTGTGTTTTTTAAAGATTTTGGAAATCTTTTTTGTAACCCCTGCTAGGTATGGCAAAGTGATGGTATTGGTTGGATCCTCAGATGGTTGTCTCCCCAGCTTTGCGGATTTTACGGTCAGAATATCCGTTCATCCTGAGGGCTTGGTGTACGTGCTCCAGCTCACTGGCTAGGTGGTGCTGGTCGGAGATGCAACGGGCCCTATGGTGTAGTGTTTTGACGAGGGAATTCTTCTGGCCTGGATGGTGGTGGGAGTCAGGCTTGAGATAGGCATCCGTGTGGGTGGCTTTCCTGTAGACAGAGTGTCCAAGTTTACTATGTTTGTTTTCTCATTCATTTGTACCTGATGTTGGTTGCTTGTGTTGCAATCGAAACGTCGTATTCTATTATTATTTAATTTTATTTATTTCTACTTGACTTTACCGAAAGAACCAAATTATTATTCGCTTTGTTCGTAACATTTCCCATAGCGACGCTTCATGAGCAACGCGCTTTCTTGCCAACAGGGGGCGCAATGTTCTTTGTTTTTGATTTGGAAAATGTTTATCCGGTCCATCACGTTCTGGTATAGGCCTCATATATGAATCTGCTCGTTTCGGGCACAAACTATTTATCTTATCGTCCGGATTATAAGACGCACTTTGCGCCCATGTCTTTCCCAGAGTGTTTCATAACCTTTCTAGAAATTTAAGAAAGAGCTTAACTCTAACTACACGTTCAACAATGCTGATTGTTGCTGGTCATGTCGGCGTTTTCGGACTAGCGCTTCGGGGCCGTCCATAAATAAGTCAGACCCCCCTCAAATATGACCTCACAAAGCTCTGCCCCCCTCCCCAAAAAATACATGCTTCAAATTGCTTTAAACTATTGTCATTGTAGTGCGTATTTAATGTGGCGCTGCACTCTGATGTTGTAGGATAAATACAAAGTAAATTTAATTAAGTGGAACGTGTTGTCTATATTTATTTAAAGTTGCGCATTTTGATGTGACGTCACATTTCTCACCCCCCCCCCCCCCTCGTCACACATCGTCACAAATGTCTGACCCCCCCCCCCCCCAGGTGCGTGACGTCATTTGTGGACGGCCCCCTATAGCAACCGCCATTAAAATACACGCACGTTTAATGAAACAAGTTTGCCCTGTAGCGAGAATATGGGAATGCCCGTATTGTGTGTCTTGCATTGATATTGATGTTGTTTTAACCTTTAGCCGCGATGTCGCTTTACACCTCTGGATTACAGGGTGCACTTTTTACCGAGTATTTTTAAAGCTAAAAAGTTGGGAGCGAGTCGTATGAATCCGGAGCGTATTTTATTCAGGAGCATACACATTAGGAATTGGAGAAAAGAATAACGCGGCAGTTTTTGTTTTAACGCAACAGATCCAGACAGTCGAAACTGGCCGAGTAATTATCTGCTTGAGCAAACGCTGCTGTGAAATGCTCCTCTCGATACTCGAGAGGGTCAGGCATCTGTCATCATCATCATCATCAGCTTTGGTCAATCCATTGCTGGTGTAAGACCTGATTAGCTGTTATTAAACCATTGCGAATTGATCAATACTGCCTAACGATGTCATTCAAACTATGAAAATTAAGAAATAGCCATTCCTACTGCCTTATCATTCAAGAGGTCGGCGTTAATTAAAGGCTGTCTATAAACATAATAACGCACACATATATTACAAATAACCCATGATAGCTTCAATCGATACACTTTACAATCCACTTTTCGTCGTATTAATTATTCAACATTCTCATAGATGATCACGCAATGCATCTGCAATTAACGTTTGTTTTCCTAACCGCGGAATCAGCAACAAAAGCCTACTTTCTGGACAATGACATTCTGTGCATTATCACATTTTTCCCGGACACTGTCAATATTTGAGTCACCCCGAACGGAATGTAGTGGGCATGTCAAACAGTTGACATGCATCAGATGTATTAATAATTCCTCCTCTTATGAGAATAAATATATTTAAATGCTAGCTGGGTAAACTTCCTCGGTCTCTTTTCTCGCGTCGCATTTAACGTGTCTCGACCCGTGTGCGTGCAGGATATTTTCACTCATGGAACACCAGGCACTTGGGGGGAGATATTGAACTTTGAGGGGGCATCTATAGCCAAGGGGCACATGAGGTACGAAACACGCATAGGGCCAGCGCTAGGCGGGTGCCGGGGTGGGCTCATTGCCACCACAATGTCCTTTTGTCCAACCCAAGGTCATTCTCCTTTGTGGGTTATACTGTTCTATGGTGACCCCCACACAACAGCTGTACTGCCCCCCCCCCAATCCGAAATAATCTGGAGACCAGCCTAAACAAATACATTCTTCCAAGTCTCTAAAGTTGTGGGCGCAATGGACTCCCATCCCCACATGGTCCATATCCATGTGAAATATCGTCATCATTTGCTTCATTGGGCACTTGAATGCCTTACATCTAATCTCGTTGCAACCGTTCGAAGGGGACCCCCAGTGGTCGTTATTCCTGTACGGCACGAGGCAACTCAGCACGGGCTGTGCGCACGCTCAGTGCCGTTGTGTAAATGTCAAGTGGAACAAATAACGCTGTATTCATCGATGGTTAGAACAAAAGTTTATTTGTATAGAAAGCTATATATTTTTTCTTTATTATGATATGTCATTCCACAGCGAGAGCACTTGTTTCAGAGCTCACAGTCAAATCACAGCTTAAATACGTATACTGCAAAGCAAGCACCCTCTCAACAAAAGAGTAACCTTCCTGTATCGTCAGCATCGCAAAAGTTACACATCTCAAAATTCTGAAAATTCCACCTTGAGACATCTCCTCGTCCCGAGTCAATTTCTGGCCAATCGAAGGGCATTTGGTGATTACAAAAAGCAGTGAGAAGGCAGCGGTGCATATGCTGTTAATGGCCTAACACGCCCGTATTTAACTGCGTTTGTCGTGTAGAACTGCAAAGAATAGCAGAGAAAACTAGAGCTAGATTTCCCTTTGTTACGCGCGTGGCATTTAAATTGTCCGCAGAATTTGGCAGACACTACGGATTACGTACTCGGCAGTTTTTGTTATTGTTGCACTCTTTAAAAAGAAAAGTCAAGAAAATAACATGGAATGCTTTAGGTTGTTTAGATAGACCTCAAAATTTAAGGTTCGGCTTAGAGAGAGTTCATCAAAATTGCTTGAAAATGTCATACGGAATGTCTAATAATTCAGGCAGTAGCCATTCGAGCATGACCTGAAAATTCGACACGCATCCAATAATCGTTTGCCGAGTTTGTGCCTCAACTCTAACTGATACATTTTTAGAGTGTACGTAATATTTGGCTACGATATTAGAAGCTCAAGCAAAATATTGGTTATGAATTACTAAATGCAAAAGTTGCTACCAAAAGTCCTGTATCAGATTGGCAGTTAGAATACAAAAAGGCAACGCCGCATATGAGATGAAAGTTTAGATTTTTCAGGGCTGCCCGTGTCAAGTGAAACGTATTGGGTTACATAATATCGACGCAGCTGGCCTGCTTTGGTGCGTGAATTTGGCAAGAGTCATTTGGCAAGCAGGAATCGGATTGCTGTGTCTCTTCGGAGTCAATATTCTTTGTGGCAGGGAAGGGAAAACCATGAGGGTGATGAGGTCGAAAATCTGCCCAGACTTTGCTTATTTAAACAAATGCTGCTGGATATTTGTCTCGAAAGCCAATAGGGCGATGGACTAAAACAAAAAATTGTGTATGTAGAAACACAAAACGGAATTCTGCTCATATATGCGTTACCCATAATGCTCCGGCAACAACGCAACAAGTGATCGTAAAAACCATTTTGCTTTTTTGCGTTGAACAGTGTAACTATTGTTGAGCACTCTTTCCGATAACACCTGGCAACCCAGCAGCATTCGTTTCACGAGCCCGACCCTGCTGAAGAGAACAACAGGGTCGAAACAGGTCCAGCGTTTGCTCGCTTTAACAAATGCCACTTGGATAAGATCAGTCCACGAGCCCTGACCAGATATTTCACTTGTCGGTACCAAATGTGGCATAATATTAGCGGTTCAAATTAAATTATGAGGCCAATAACAAGGAATTGTATGATAATCATATGAAATGCATAGGTTATCAATTCACCCAAGTTAATTAATTTTAACCATTAACGTTCTGTCTCATTATTCGTACCAATTTTTGCTCTGGCCCAAGGACTATATTGCTTTGGAAAGCCAATAAATAAGCCAACGGACTAAAAATAATAATATGTGGAGATGCATGATGGAGTTCTGCTTGGTCTCGTATACTCATTTACCAACACAGCACCGCAACAACGCACCATGAGTTTGTGTACTCGAGACGGTGACGTGCCCTTACCCCTCCACCAGGCGGCGCCAGTGCACGACGAGGACAGATGAGATTGACCACGTGGTGGTGGTGTGAGACTGGACGGGTGGAATTGTACTGCAGAGTTCAGGCCACGCCAGTCTCTAAGTAGGTTGGTTGCCTGCTCGATTGATAATAGGTGGACATACGTGGCAGAAGGAGAGTGGTGTGTGGGCAGTGTATGTTTTGCTGGATATATAGAGCAGAAAGGGTGATCTTACCTGGGCTCAAGTAAGATGCACTGGTGCCAGTGTTTGGAGGCAAATGTGCAGTCCTGCAATTGTTTGCTCATGTCACGGCTGGTGGAAAAATTTCCACGAGAGGGAGCTCTAGAGATGTACTCAGGGAGCTGATATATATTTTACAACTATTTCATTATTAAATGTATAAATTCCAGATAACCTATAAATCCTAATAATTGTAATGAGTTTGTAACTCCTGCATGGGCATCTGTGTGCCGCATATAGCGAGGTATGGGCATTCTGCGCAGTCCAGCCACGAGGTGGCGTTGTGCGAGATGTTTGGCATCGGAATTATTTGGGATTTGCACATACCGACAAACTGCACTTTGAGTGGCCCTAATTAGCCAAACCCGAGTGGTCTGTGTGGCTTATATTAATTGGACCATAAAAATAAAACAACCCACGTATGTTTCTATTTTCCTTCCACGTAAAGGACTCCCTCCAAACCAACGTGTACATTTCCAGTTTTAGTTTCCAAATTTGCAGACAAGTGTCGTTAGCTCATAAACAAGTGAAAAAAAAACTATAAGTTCGCTAAAGATCTATGCTCTGCACTCCGATAGTTTGGTGTCTTGTTTGTTGTTGTAGATTTATGACCCGCCCCTACTGGACATATGTGAAGAGCTTCATAGCTCATCGGATTTCTCCAAGATAAGAAAAGATTCTGATTCTATGGAAAATAGTATTTTAAGAGTTGGTCGAAGAGTAGAGGATAAGGACTGAATAAATAACAGAACAGGGGGGTCACCGATTATGTTGCTAAAGCGAAATAAACCAAGTGTCAATGGGCAGCACGCATACGTCAGAGCAGCTGAGGAGAGATGAGAGACGAAATTTATTCCAGAGTGGAGGCCAAGCGATGGAAGGAGAAGCAGAGTGAGACAGCGATGAGTGAGATGACATCACAGAGTTCTGAGGCTACGACTGGAGAGTAGCAACTGGGGGAAGGATGGAACGGATGAAGATGGGGGGAGGCCTTTGTCAAGCAGTGGGAAGTTGTTCCAGGCTGATAACAACAACATCATCAACACTTAAAATTCCCATGCTATCAGCCAAACTGGGCCATCTAGTACAGTTACCCGATCCTCCCCGCCACTGCCCCTCAGTTGCGGTTGCTCAGCAGCATCGTCTGGTGGACGTCGCAGATGTCGAACCACTGGTCGGACACGCGCCGGCGTGCCAACAGCCCGTTGTACGGCAGCGCCGGGTTGGCCTGGCGGTCGCGGTCGTCCACCACCTTCCAGAAGTAGTCCCCCTTGAAGAAGAAGATGGCCATGTGCGAGTACGAGTAGTACACCGCGTCCAGGTTGCCCCCGGGGTGGTCGCCCGCGACCACGGCCGGGAAGACGTCCGTCACTCGCTTGGGGTAGCCGCTCACCTTCTGCTGGGAGTTCACGCTGAACGCCGTGACCTGGGGCACGCGCGGGGCAAATGCAGCGTCACCGTCTTCGTCGGAGGGGATCGTCACGGTGCCGTTCGCATCGCTGGAGTGCGGGTAGTAGGCCTCGGCAAGGTCAGGTAAAAGGTAAAAACAACGAGCCTACCTTTTACCTTACCACAATACAATCACTCTACCCTTACCTTTTACCCTTTAGCAAGGTAAGGTAAAAGGTCAAAAGCAACGAGCCTACCTTTACCCTACCTTTTACCCTTACCCCATACAAACTACCCGATTACAGGGTAATTACTGGGGTACTACACATGAAAAGGTTTATAACAGGTAAATGCTAGGTAGAGCGCTGTATTCATCCATATATATAAATAGGAAATTTGTGAATATGTGTGTCAGTTCGAAATGTTTAGCATACTTCCCGACATGCAACAAACTTGAAATTTGGCATGAGGGTAGCTTCCAGACTGTACACGATGCAAAAAGTATTAAAAAAAGTATTTTGCATTTGGGGGGGGGGGGGGGGCAATGATGGATATATTTTGCACGGCAAGTGAGCGGTGACGTCACATCTGTGATGTCACCCGCATGCGGCAGCGTCACGCAGTGTGCCTGCTGACGTCACGCAGTGTGCCTGCTGACGTCACGCACCGCCCCTCACCCTCCGCGTAGGCCGTGTATTATTCCAAGACAAGAATTCAAGTCTCGGGTAGTAAAGCTCGTATAGAATACTCTCGATTATTCCAATTTTAAATGGAGGTCACGGACTGTGCCACGGAGCTTTTAGCGAGCGGTAAACAAGGTATTTACTGGGTAATTCTTCGCGCTACCTTTACCCTACCCTTTACCTTACCCCTTGGCATGTCGACAGCTTTACCTTTACCCTTTTACCCGGTAAAAAGGGTCAATTACGATTTAAAGCTTTCGTGACTGCAGGGATTCATCTTCTTGGTTCTTTCGGTAAAGTCACGTAGAAGGGAAGTAACAAAATAATAAAAATAAAACATAATAAAATAAAATAATTCTCACGACGTTTCGGCTACAACGCAAGCAGCCGTCTTCAGGTGAAGAATGAGACACTACCAAACTAGGAGCTTATATATAAGCTGCGTTGGGGGTGGAAGAGCGCCTTAACAAAAGAATGTGCATATGAAGAGGAATTTAGCATATTCATGGAAAATGCGTAGGCGTTGGGCGGGGAGGTTTCAAAGTCATATTATGCCCATGCATTATGCAGGATCAGCAGCACCAAGGGGGGGTGCAGGGATTAGCAGTAACAAAGGAAAGGAATGTTAATGATATGTAGCTGCAGTTACTCAACAACCACGTAGAAAACTAAAGTATAAACTACATAAAAAACTAAAGTATAAACTGCATAGCACCATCAGTATACTTACTATACTCTACAATAAGCTGAGTTACTAACAGCAAGTAATACATTACAATTCTACGTCGTAAAAATTCTATAATATGCTTCCATCTAAACTTTATTCTCTTACATCACACGAGCATATACCGTACTATATACTGCCATAGATAAACCCAACATTAAATTATATACTGTATTGCTGTAAACCAACCTATACCTTATACATTTTAATATAATACTATGTATTATTCTACACACCCTAATGTGTATCGAAATGGTTTATTACGTCCTTCCAATGATTGCTAAGCCAGAATCCATCTTCTCGGTTAAAATTGTCTCTGTGTTTGTATATGTGGATCGCCTCATGAACGAATCTCTCATGATAGCCAGATGGCTTGCAGAGAACCTCTGTCTTGGAGAAGTCAATATCATGTGAGCCCACTGAGTTGTAACAGTGATCTGCCACGGCTGAGGTGTTTGTCCTACCGTGTTTCAGGTCAGCTTTATGTTCACGGATGCGGTCCGAGACATGTCGTTTGGTTTCCCCAATGTAACTGCTACCACAGAGGCAACTTAGTTTGTAGACGCCAGGGTACTGTATGTCTGGAACCACATCTTTTACAGACGGTACCAGATCACGGATTTTATGTACTGTGTTGAATCGGACCTGGATCTTGTGTTTAATCAGGATTTTGGAGATCTTTTTTGTGACCCCAGCAATGTAGGGTAAGGTGATGGTCTTGAAAGGCTCCTCAACAGGATCCTTCTTGATGGTTGGAGTGATGGCTTTGCGGATTGTGTAGTCGGAGTAACCATTAGCCTTAAGAGCTTGGCGTACGTGTTTGAGTTCACTGGCAATGTGTTCATGGTCGGAGATGCATTGGGCTCTATGATATAGAGTCTTGATGAGGGAATTCTTCTGGGATGGATGGTGGTGGGAATCCGGTTTTAGATAAGCATCCGTATGGGTGGCTTTCCTGTAGACAGAGTGGCTCATTGAACCATCAGGTCTCCTTTTGATTAGGACATCCAAAAAGGGTAGCTTGCCATCTTTTTCGACTTCCATGGTGAATCTGATGGCTGGGTGTATGGAGTTGATGTGGTCGAGAAATTGGTCTAGAGCAGCACGGCCATGTGGCCAGATGACAAAAGTGTCGTCTACGTACCTCTTCCATAAGGTCGGGCGTAGAGTGGCAGTCTGGATGGCGTCCGTCTCAAATTTCTCCATGAAGATGTTGGCTACAACCGGAGATAGGGGGGAGCCCATTGGGGTGCCCTCAGTTTGCTTGTAGAAAGTTTCATTCCAGGTGAAGTATGTATTGGTTAAGCAGTGTCTCACCAGGGGGGGTACCCCAGCATTCAGTCCATGATGAACCAAGTCTTCAATGATTGCGATGGTGTCAAGTACAGGAACCTTGGTGAATAAGGAAACCACATCAAAACTGACAAGCAGGTCGTCTGGGGACAGGGCAATCCCCTTGATTGTCGATACCAGGTCAGTAGAGTTTAGTACCGCAGAGGTGGTTTTTCCAGTGAAAGGCCGTAGGATTTCAGACAAAAAGCGAGCCAATTTATAGGTGGGGGAGTTGATAGTAGAGACAATGGGACGAAGAGGTGTATCTTCTTTATGTATCTTTGGCAAGCCGTATAATCTTGGTGGCCTGGCTGCAGAAGGTTTCAACGAGAACTGTTTGGTCTGATCAAATAATGCGGTTGAATCAGAAATGATTTTGTTGGTTTTAGTGACGAGGCTGTTGGTGGGGTCTCTTTTTATTTTTGTATAGCTGCCATCGTTGAGTAGTTCTTGAATTTTGTTGTTGTATTCTATTTTGTCCATGATGACAGTGGCATTGCCTTTGTCGGCTGAGAGGATGACAATGTCATTCCTCTTTTTTAATTGAGCTAATTCAAAACGCTCATCTTTGCTGATGTTGCTAGCTGGCATCTTAGCGTTTTTGAGGGTTGCAGAGATTTCAGATCTTGCTACGTCTGCAGCGATGTGACTCAAGCCCTTGAGAGCTACATCTACTCGAGCAATTATATCATTAACTGGTATGTGTCTAGGTGTGACTGCAAAGTTTAGTCCTTTAGCTAAAACGGATTTCAGACCTTTAGAAATAGAACTGTTACTGCGATTAATTACGACTTTGTTAACATCTAGCTTTTCAGTGTGTGGGTCCGGTTTCTTGTTTAAGAGGCGGTTGAATTTGGAAATCAAGTTGTCCTTACATTTAGTCGAACTAGCGGCAGCTGAAGAGGCAGTCATTTTTTCTACATGTTCCCAATCAGATGTGGACATTGTTGCACTCAAAGATAAGTGTGATTTGTAGAGTGTCTTGTCTAACTGATCTAGTTCGGTGCGCGTAAGTCTGATTTTCTCTGAGATGAGAGCTAAGCTAGTTCTAGACAGAATTCGTTTCGCATTAGAAGAAGTTCTTCCACCCCCAACGCAGCTTATATATAAGCTCCTAGTTTGGTAGTGTCTCATTCTTCACCTGAAGACGGCTGCTTGCGTTGTAGCCGAAACGTCGTGAGAATTATTTTATTTTATTATGTTTTATTTTTATTATTTTGTTACTTCCCTTCTACGTGACTTTACCGAAAGAACCAAGAAGAGGGTCAATTACCTTACCTTGCCGAGGCCTAGCAGGTAGAAAGATCGTTTCAATGGGGAGGCGGGGGGTAATTGTACGATCGTGTCTATTGTACACCTCTATATCAATTGTTGAACGCCGTGACTTGTCAAAGGCGAAAAACGGCTGTGTCAAGCAGTGGTGTCTCTCAAAAGGGACACTTGTATGCATGCAAGTTTAACTTCTTTCGTACAGCACGTGGTCAACCGTACTCATCGTAGGTATGGACTCTTCCCATTCTTAAGTTCCCAGGCCTGAAGTTCCCCAGGTTAGCGGCTCCAACTCACTCCATCCTATTCGATGCCCCTTTGTATCTAGCAACGCCACGGGCTCCGTACTCGGGTTCCTTGAGCCATGACTCGGGAAGGACAGTTGCGACGATTTCCTCTTGCCTTCGTCAACAGTGTTTATAAAGTGATACTGTGGGACCTTTTTGGCAGTATCAATATATAAAAAATAAGAATACGTTTCACCCTTTCTGGCAATAAAACAGGTGTTAAGAGATTTTATTACCAGAAAATGGTAAAACGTATTCTTACTTTGATACTGGAAAACAGGTCCCATAATTTAGCTGCTCATCCCGAGCTAAGCATGCTCTGATACGTGTGGCATTGTCTTTGCACTGTTCGCCTTTTGGCGTTCTCTGGTCTGACACAGTTTCAAAGACAATGCAGACATTATTAGAGCATGTTTGTTTGCATGTTCAACACAAGAACGGTGTATGGTTAATGCAGACTTTTTGGTTCTTTCGGTAAAGTGACTTTACCGAAAGAACCAAGAAGATGAATCCCTGCAGTCACGAAAGCTTTAAATCGAAATTTCATGCAGACTTGACTACTCGCAAAAGGTTTTTATTTGGTGTTTGAACATCTTAACACCTCTTTTATTGCCAGAAAGGCGTGAAACCTCTTCTTACTTTTCATAAAGTGACACCATGCTGCTGTAATATTTCTGTGATATGCGATTGTACGTACGCCCCCCTCGTTACTCAGTTGTGCCCCCGTTTTACCCCTCGTCCCTTGAGTCGCCACTCGCACGCAGAAGCGTCTGCCGTGATTTGCCTTGCTGTGCTGCCCACCTACAGGCCTTCTCGATCTCCGGTGGGCATTTAAGCCTCTTAAATGTAGCGAAACGCCACCAGCTGTGGACGTTCGATGAACTGCCAACAATTTGACGGCGCTAAACTCGCGCCCCCTACGTGAACCACGACGACTGGCAAAATAAAATAACACTGTCAAAAAAAAAATTTCTGGCCTGGACTTTTGCAGCTGTTTTAGACTAATTTCAGGGTGCTGATTCCAAATCTGATCTCAGATTTGCTCTATCGCATCTCATTTTATGCTATCGGCATACCCCATTTTCATTGATTTTACCCGAAATTAACTCTGTCACTTATGAGTGCAAGTTGTTGCGAGTCAGTGACTGCTTTAGTGTTAAAATATGGTGCTGTCTTTTTAGGATAGTATGTTTATAAGAAAATTTTATGTAGATATCAACATTTATTTAATATTTTTCTTCTGCAGTTTTTATTGAAAATGCAATATTTGATATCTCAAAAACCTGATGTGATAGTCAAAAACTGATGCCAGATTTGGAATCAGCACCCCAGAATTACCCTAAACCCGTTGGAATACCTTATGCCAGAAAAAGTGTGTTGACCAGTGTAATCGACCGTTCAATCGAATAGACGAGGGAGGATTTCGCAAGACGAGGCCAGCCGTGGCACATCCGGCTGGCACCAAGACCCGCGTGTTGCGATAGGAATACATCCAAATTAACAGCGCCACTCACATTATTCGCCTTAAAGAAGTAGATGTTCTGATCTCTGCCGTCGAAGAAAGCCGTGTCGATAGGGTGCGGGACGTTTGGGAACTTCTCTGAAATTGGTCTCGGGTAAGGCAGACCCTGCGGATCCTCTGTGTACACACAGTCGTTCTGATTGTCGTACCTCCAGTACTGCGTTCCTGAACGGATGAAAACACACACGTTGATTAGACTTCGTGAATTTGCGCTTTAAACGCGAGATTTAATATGTCGATAACGCGTGAGTTATTGCACGACGGTTTTTTTTAAATCCTTTATATTAAGTTCACTTGCTTGCTTGCTTGCGCGCTTACGACCGTGCAATTTTTTCGGTCGTTTTTTAACCCACTTCCCGTGATCCAATCGAGCTGACATTTTGCACACGGACTCGTTGTGCGTGACAATTTATTGTCGTGAAAATTTTTTTCCAAAATTTTCCACTTTTTAGGAGAAAAAAAATGTCATATTTAATTTAAAATACCAATGTGATAAAAATGAAACTCTTACTCAAGAAAAACAGAAATGAATAATAAATAAAACCGATGCCACGCATATAAAGGATTTATAGTGAAAAACTTTGTTTTTACGGGTTAATTTTTTCATCATAAACTGGATTACTGCTCAGTGATTAGTGCACTGAGCTCCAATAGCGAGCGAGCAGATTCGCTCGATTCCCAGCCACGGCTAACATCAGTGGCGAGTGACATCTGACCTCGAACATTGTCACTCATGACAGCTGGTAAACCCGGAGTATTTGCTAAGCAAGCATGACTTGTTGATGAGATCCAAAAACGTCGAAACTGGCCCAAAGTTAACATGCTCAAATATGCTGCCGGTTAACATGAGTCTAGACTGCAAACGTGTCGATGGGATGTTCTTATTGTTTTCACTTGGACACACAGTAGACGGCTTTAGATACATATGTCTTATGAATGTAACAATAGGAACATTTACGGGCAAAGGGTGGAAGGAAGGGGAGGGTAGGAGGGGAGAAGAGTGAACATTCTATTTTGTCTGCGTTGCCAATCATCCAGATGAGTGTGGACTTCTCTTGCGCATCTAGCATTCAGAGCACGTGTGTGGCACAGGCGTGGGTCAAATCCCACAGATTCCGTCGCTCTCCACTCCCACCAGCTCTTCCTGTCCAAAAGTTCCCAATCACATCCCTTCATAACCTCAGCAGCCCATGCCATGGCTTTCAGTTTTCTGCCGATATCAGCGCAGGCGATTTAGAGGGAAAGTGAAGTTAGGGGAGCGGTGGCCAAAGTGGTTAGCGCATTGTGCCGTGAATTTTGGAAACCTGAGTTCGATTCCTTCTGAGCCACGGCTAACAGCATGGAGGGTCCTGTACTGCACTGGGGTATTTGTTGAATTCCCTTCATTATTGGTTTCATTTATTAGTGACGGAAAACACATTTTTAGATTGAAAACTCATTTAATTAAATTGAAAACTCATTTATTTAGACCTGATGTTGGCGTTCAGTTTGTTGTCATTCCCCAGCACCTCCGATTAGCATGGTTGGCTACGTACGGTGCGAAAGAAGCTCAACATACATTCACGTGGGAGGAAACCAGAGTACGGATTTGGACAATACAAAATAATTAATAAATGAGTATGCACCCATACAACCTCTTCAAAGACGTCTGGCCAGTGTGGTAGAATAGGCCGACTACTCTCTCTCGAGAGAGAGAGAGAGGGACCTTCTCGTGCTCCCTCTTGAGGATGATTGTCCGGCAGCAGTGACGTGAGTAAGTAATTTACCCAGAAAAAAATAATCAAGGACAGGTCAATCGCCTCTTTCACTCCACCCTCAACAGGTTCAGGATTGGTCACGGGCCATGCCTCGCCAACCTCCACCAATGGGGCCACAAGAGCAAGCCCCCAATGTCCCTGCGGGGTGGAGCAAACCATGCCAACCGCATCCTAGAAGTCTGCCCAAATCCACAAACTCAGCAGACGCCGACTCACCCTCGACACGGCAGAACCATGAAGCAACCGCTTGGCTTAGAGGGTCTTTGCATTCGCTAAATAAAACTTCACTGCCACCTACGGGGTGACCTTGTGACCCAGTGTAAACAGGCCCCGTGGGGCTTTCGCACCTTTAAAGAAATACGCCTCGTCCCTGCTAAGGCCGGACACGTGCACGTACGCGTCAACGCTATCTGGGATGGACTTCCAGCCGCGTGCAATGGGCGCTGGGTCTCCCGAGCGCGTCTTGTTCTTGGCGTTCTCGTACATCCAGTACCACTGGCGTCTGAAGAAATAGGTGTTGAAACGACGACGAATTAATTGCCCATCCCTGTTTCTCTCTTCGCGTATCCAGTCAAACACGGCGTTGAATGAACCTTCGCAAACACCTAGAGCGGACAGAGAGAACAAAAAGAAAGAGAGCAAGAAAGGACAAATCATGCACACACATGTGACTTTGTAACGCTTTTACAACGTGCCCCCGCGCCCCCCCCCCGTCCTAACGTTTATAACCGCGTGATGTGACATCACGCCGCACAGGACTTGTGACGTCACATTGGTCTCCAAGCCACAAAACTTTTAGCGCTGGTTTTCTTATGCCACGTTTGGAGCTGTACTTTGATACATACATTTGGACGGTTTTCGAATAGCAGCGCAACTGTCATGTGTTTTTTTATATATTGTGTTATCTTTACGAGGGATAACGTGACCCTATGCTTCGAGCCGTATCGACAAACAGACGGACGGACGGACAGAGCAAATGCATTTACTGCTTCCCTTCTTCGTTGGAACACTTCAAAAGAGCGGAACGATTTCACGAGTGTTGAAACACTTCCAGATATTGCACTTAATATACCACAACCGCCCGTGACCAAAATCACGCGGAATGCATCGCATCTCGTGAGAACTGGCAAGCTAAGCAGAGTTCAGCCTGGGTAGTGCTTGAGTTGGTCGACGGGCATTCACAACACTGGCATTGCTCGGCAAGCGATTCGACTATGGTCTTCCATGCGACGTGTGCAAGAGACGTGGCACTTGTCAGCTCAGTCTGCTGCGGAGCTACGCTGTTAGTCGAAGGCAGTGCAGCGACATCCATCGTTGTACTGCACTATCCCCCACCGTCTATGCCTCCCGTCTTCACAAACCCGCACTGAGCAGTGGGGCGAAGTATGGTCAAACCATCGCCATGACCGATACGACCCTCATCCAGCAGTGGACTGGCAGTAACAGACTGAGTGTACACGATGCTGCAATAATGAATTGTAATTGCAGCATTTCACTACGATGTTGTTGTACCAGAATGCACAATTCACTGACGTTCGCTATCTACAATCACACTCAATTAAAGTGTTGGGACGATAATTAACGTCGGTGGCCGACTTTGTACGATTACTGCCCTTGCATGTTCCCATTCCACTGGACTGATGCAATCTCTCTCGCAATGCGGCAATTCTTGACGATGTTAACAGATTACTGCCAGTCACCTGTGCACGCGCGCGCGCACACCCACTGCTGTGATCTTCGTCAGTGTGACGACGCTAATGGTTCTAGATTTGAAGCTTTCGTGACTGCAAGGATTCACTTAGTTTTTTTCCGGTAAAGTCACGTAGGTAAAACATAAAAATTAATAAAAGTAAAATAAAATAAACAAATAAAAATCACGACGTTTCGGAGGCAACACAAGCTTCCGTCTTCGGGTAGAACCGTCACAGCCACGACAGCTAATGGGTTAAGAGAATCATTGTTTATCATTTACTCAACGCGTGCGTGATGTCGGCAAAAAGGGGCATCAACGAAGGATGCACGCGCATCGACCGACGCGTGCACTACTCACCATAGAGACGCTGGATGGCTTTCCTGTCGTTCCAATCCAGTTCGAATCCGGAATCCTTCGGGATATAATTTGGCTGCATGACAGATCCGCTCCGGTAAATGTGCGGTAAGCCGAGCACGTGTCCAATTTCATGAACGGCGACCTTTGTGAGACACGCGCGCACGCAAATTGTTATTAATCTGCCCCCCCACCCTCCCCCATTGCTCCACCCCATCCCACCCATCCAGACCCCTCAAAATAGCTAACGAGTTCTAAGTAGCATTAGATTATTCCTGCTTGGGGTTTGCGGGGGTTGTAGTCTGTGGCTATCTTCCTGTGCGTGTTGTTACCGGGCATTTGTTCAGCATCGCGTTGGACGTTTTTTCTCCACGGTCTGGTATTGCGAGCTTGCTCGGAGTAACTTGAACAGTTACTTGCAATTAATAATTTTCAATTCCCTGAGGATATTGGGTTTTTTTTCCATCAACTTGCTCCATTGCCCTTCTCACAATTGACAAAGGACCCGCTACCCTTAGCACCACCCACTCGTGCACTTGCCATGGCCCTCTCTATCTTATATTTACACTCACGACCAAACTTGCTATTCCATAAAAATGATCATGTGTCTGCGTCTTTCTCCAGTTGTCCCCTTGGAGTGTGCTGTATATGTGTATGCGCAATAAAATAATGCTTTTGGAATAAAAAAATATCCAATTCCGTTACCTAAACAGATCCCCCCCTCACAGAATACAACGCCAAGTGCTGATTAGGATCTTCAGAAACTGATAATTGCATTCCATACTCTTTGGTTCTTTCGGTAAAGTTAGAAATAAAATAAAACAAATCACGACGTTTCGATCGCAACACAAGCGGTCGCCATCAGGCACTTGTGTTGCGATCGAAACGTCGTGATTTGTTTAATTTTATTTTATTTCTAACTACGTGACTTTACCGAAAGAACCAAAGAGTATGGATTCCTGCAGTCACGAACGCTTCAAATCTAAATTGCATTCCAATTCAGGATATTAAATTCAGTTCCTTGAAATAGAGTTCCCTGCGCTTGGTGACGATACGCGAAACGTCAGACAACGCGCGGTAACCACCTGAACGACACATCGCAGAGTAACGTTAGATTATTTCGCTGAGCGATTTAAGAAAAAAAAGATCCCCCGTATAGCCTGAACAGACTGTTGGGGCAAGTGCTATTAGCGAGCACCTATTAAGGCCGGAACGGTACACGAAGGGGTGGGTGCCCAGTAGCACGCCCGGTCGCCTTTGTCTCCTCAGTGTCGATGTTTACACACCGCACTAGGTAGTCTTTTGAGGCTGAGTCGACCTAGGGGAGGCCCAGAACCGGTTCAGAAAATCGCCACTGGTGTTGGCCGTGAGCAGGAATCGAACTCGGGTCGCCGACTTCGTAGCGATAACCGCTACACTGCCGCGCCCACGATTTAAGACAAAAATTATCAACACAATTTAAAAAAGAAACCCATTGCGCTTTGTCTGATCGGCGTTCACCTTCAGCAGACTGATGCCTTCTTCGCTCCGGGGCTTCGTGAAATGTTCGTCGTCGTCAAAGTGGACGTCTCCGAGGTGCCACGCGTGAGCGAACTCCTGCCCGCTGCCGTCAAACACCTGGGAGCAGCCCAGGTGACGCCCTGGAGCATGGGTGCCAAGGCACGTGCACACGGAATCCTGGTCACGGTTTACGCAATTTGGCGCCTCGGACCAAATCCGCCCGCGGTGGTCTCAGAAGAAGCCGAGCGGGGTTTGTCGAGCCGGGGATAGTGACGGCTTGGATTGGGCGACTTTATGATAGGGGTGCGGGGATGGAGTGAGGCGGAGAGGAAGCAATCGGTTGTACCCAAACTTCCATCAACCCGCGCTGTTTCGGGGTACGGTCCAATAACTCCGCCCATGGGACCCGAACGGCAATGTGGAGGCCCAGCGGTGGGTGTGTAAAGCGCGTTTAATACCAAAGTGGTCTTCTAAATGAAAATATAGAATAAGTGACGTTTCGGGCAGCGATCCCCTTCACAGCACATACATTTGTGCGACTAAGGGGGTCTGATTGACAAACGCGAGCTTTTCTGTTACATTGACTTGTGCACCACTGCCAAGCCAATATCACCAAATCAGTTGTACAAGTGGGGGGGGGGGGTTGTTTGACCATACTTCACCACGTTCGTTAGTGGGGATGTGTGAAGGAAGCGGTGGGGCTGGGCAGGGAGGGTTCCTAGGACGCGTTTAAAGTTCACTCGCCACTTGAGTTAGCCGTGCTCGGGTTCACGGCGCAGGGTGCGCTAACCACTGCGCCACCGCTCCAGTCAGGAAGGCAACACACAGCAGTAAGAGTCCACATCGTTTCGTCTCTCTTCACATACAACTGCCGCGCGCTCAATCGGATTAGTGGCCTTGCTGTGTATCTCTGCGGGCAAACCGTGTAACCGGTTTTGACCTCAAGGAACTCATCGGCAGTCGAGCTGCTTGAGCAAATATTGCTGGGGTTGTCAGATGTTATTGGCAAGAGCACTCCCCTGCATGATGGTGCCATGTTGAGAGGAAAACGCAATGTAGTGCAAATAAGTAAATAAATGCTACCTGACGCGTCTACGTTGAAGCATTTATGGTGATTAAATAACCACGTAATGAAATCTTAATTTCGTATCTCCACGTAAACGTTAAATATCTTAAGTCGGTTTATACCAGCGAATAGTAATCTCAAATGTAGCCTTAAGAAAGTGAATTGGCACCCACGCGTGGCTCCGTGTGTTGTTGACCTACGACTGTACCGTAATATGACGCATCTCAAACTTGTTGTCTTGTTACACACACACACACACGCGCGCACCTTCCGGATTATAAGACGCATTCTCTCGACTTTTACTCCGATGGATGCGGTCTCTAGCTCTGCCACCCTTCAGGAATGATAACTGTGGAACGGACATTTACCCAATACTCTCGCAGCAAAACGTGGAACGTTGGGCCAACGGTTATAGCCACAGTGCCAACGTTGGTCTAACGTTGGCATGTTCACTGGGCTGACGTTAAGGAAAACGTCTATTTAATGAAAGATGCCACCCAAATAACGTAATGATCATCATCATTACCCATATCTTATTTATATATTATATGCTTTTTTTATATAGGAACGAAGCCCCAAACGCGTGTTATACAGCCGTGTGCATGCAGCCAATAGGTCGCACAATGCATTGAGCCGTATCGTTATATCTAAGGCCATGTAAGCTATGCTACAATGTAATCAATATCGGCCATGGTCAATCCACTTCTGGATGAAGTCCTGTCATATATATATTAAAAAATATGAGAATGTGCTGGCAGAAATGCGCACTCACTGAAACACTCAACACCTCATCATCGACGCCGCCCTATAAATGATATGGTAGCTCGGCTCGCTTCTAAGCAATGAACTTTCTTCATATCATATAATAAGAACGGTGTGTTTTTTCAATATATTTTAGGTTTTTTTGCTGCAACTTTTGCGATGCTGTTACAATGGGTTATGAAAATGTGCGAAACAGTTATACAGCACGTTAAAAGGTGCATTCAACGGCAAAAAAATGAAACGACAGCATGCTTGGCATGTCAAGACGACATCGTCATCCTTGTGCAGATTCTGCAGATTGCCACTTCATGATATTTTTTTTTATCATTGTAGCCATCATCTCAAAAGCACCAAGGCTGTATTTATGCAGTAGGATAACGAAGCAACTGGATATATCGATTTCACCCTCATCAGTAAAAATATCGCCATCCTTGACCACTACTGCCGAAATGCGCTTGAAGGGACTTGGGTCGGGCAACCTTCCTGGAAACGTACATGCGGCTCAATGTGGGGGGGCACAAGAGCGACTCACTCAGTTATCCACTCAGTCGCTCAGCCGCGTATCCGCCGCTCACCTCTGCCGAAGCCTAACTTGACGTCGAGCTCGGCCGTGGGGGTAGTGAGGTCCTCGATGAATTCCAGCGGGGTGACCTCGCTCCACATGCGGAAAGCCAGGCGCAAGATGGCCCTCTGATCGTCCACGCTCAGCTGCTGGCTGTACCCCTCCCCGATGAGCCTCCACTTGAGCTGCCGCTTGGAGAACACCTGCACCGCTCGCCCCGTGCCCCCCTCGTCCCTGGCCCTCTTGGAGCGGGCCCTGTCCACGAACCTCTGCAAGGACCTCCTCTTCCTGCCCTTGACCTCCTTTCCTGCGCTCGGAGAGGAGGAGGTCGAGGGCTGCCCCTCCGCTGCCTCTGAGTCGTTCCGTGCGGTACCGTTGGCGGTGTCGTTGGCGGTGTCGTTGGCGATGTCGGCGGCGGCGTCGAGATCTTCCGGCTGGTCGGGAACGCCGCAGCGTGGCCTGTTCATGGCCTCCTTGGTGGCCTCATCCAGGACGCCCGTGACGGGGAGGCCGTTTGCCTCCTGGAAGTGCTCGAGGGCGAGGGCGAAAGCGGGGCTCTGCGTGGGTTCGCCGTGGGGTGCCGCGTCGCCGCCCTCGGAGCGGAGTGAGGAGTCCGCCTCTTCTATCAGCTCCACGGTGTCTCTCGGCGCCGGGTCGTCGTTCGTGGGCACTGGCACGTCGTGGTAAGGGACTTCTTCCCAGTTCACCTCCTCTATCCATCCGTACTTGGACAGGTAGTGCTGCCAAACGACACCGGCATTCAACACGAGCAATCTTTACCAGCTGCACACCCCTCCGCCCCCTTGTTGCTGCGGGGATTTCCCCATTGGGATTTGTGTGGTGTCATCCTGCCCACCCCATTCTCTACAAATCCCCAACAATTCCCCCCCCCACCTCAACCGCCCTCCCCCCCAAAGAAACCATTCCCAGTTAGAGATATACCTCTGCAGAATCCGCTGTTTTCACCGGCTCGGAGATGTGGTTAGTGCTGATGTCTGAGTGATCCCTGCGATGGTAGATCATCTCGGCTCCCGTCAGGGTGGCCACAAGGAGAGGAAACACCAGGTAAGTAACAGCCGCTGTCCGCCGATCCATCTTCCACTCGACTGCCCCACCAATGTCCCCGCGATGATGGGTTAGTCCTGAGGGTTGGTGTACGCGATATCTTATAGCGTTGACAGCACACTTGCAAAAAAAATATTGGGGGAAATCACTTATACTCAAGTACGTTCAGAGGCTATTGATAATTAAAACTTCCTGAACGCTACTGCTAATGTAATGCAGATTGCTTGGTAATTCAGGCAGTAGTCAATTCCAACTGTCTAAAAATGCATTTTGCATACATTTTTCAGTCGTCCCTGACGCATTTGAAACTTTATATATATCTATACATAATTTTAACAAAAAACATAAGTTTATTGGTATGGTAAAATAAGAATGTACATTTAAAATGCCTCACTTTTAAGTGTTGCGTATGCACTTTTCTAGGTCAGATTTAGTTCCGCTGAATATTAACGACGACATCACAAAGCAACAGAACCACTGTTCGGGCTGCTGTGGCGTCGGCAAGTTCACAATTTCCTCAACTCCGGTGTAAGTTTGAGATCTCTCGTGGAACACTTCACCTTGACACGCTTCGGAAAGCCGTTACTTGCAGTTTCGAGAGGCTTCTATTCCTCCTCCGCTGTCCCGTTATTCTCTTTTGCGGTGACTTGGCAGAACTGTTAGCAATATACAAGTGCGGTGGTTACGCAGTGGAATTTTCTCTCTTTTTTTGCTGCGATTACCTGGGAACATTTATTTCGTTGTTCCGTGCTGCATTGTTTCAAAATTAGCTTTTTTAAATAAAGAAAATAGTTGCCTGCAAATTAAGCTAACTTAAGCAAACAGTCGTAGCTTATCACTCCACTTCTGAAAACAAATTGGTCCACTGGCACTTAAAAAAAACAATATTTTCGTATTAATCCGTACGTAATAAATAATAACAGCCTACGCGTATAATTGTGTAATATACTTACCCCGCAAAATTCTTTGCCTGCGGCGTCTCTTTGGTTGTCCGATCAGGTTACAGTGCATAAGCACTGCCCTTCGTTACTCCGTGTTTTCTGTGGAGGATGCGTCCCTTGGCATCATTTATTAGTTAAGTGGGCGGTCCGCACCTTCACTCGGTGATGGGGCCTCGAGCCATCTGACCAATCGGCGACTGCTCCACATTGGGGGCCACGTGCCCCAGCATCATCTTCTCGGTGAACCAACTTTTACCCCCCCCCCCAAAAAAATATACAGGTCGGTTCTGTTTGTGCCTGCGTTTCTGTGCGGATGCTTGTGGGTATGCAATGTTCTTTCCACCAATAACTGTTAGTGCTGTGGGTTTTGTGAGTGTGTGTGTGTGTATAGCGGTGGTGCAGCAGTTAGTACACTGTGCTACGAACCCGGGGACCCGAGTTCGATCCCCGCTCACGGCCAACACCAGTGACAAATATTTGAACCTGTCTCGGACCTCCCCGAGGTCAACTTAGCCTAAAATGAGTACCTGGTGCGATGTGTACACATCGCAACTGGGGAGACAAAGGCAGCCGGGCGTGGTGCTGGCCACCCACCCCCTCATGTGCCATACTGGCCTTGGTAGGTGCCTGCAAAGAGCACTTGCCCTAATAGTATGTTAAGGCTATATTGGGGGGGGGGATCTTTGTCTTTGTTATAGTGATGGCAAAGCGGTTTAGTGCCACTGAGTCAGAAACCCGGCGGGTTGGGTTTTATTCTTGGCCACAGCCAATGATGAATGGCAAACATCTAAATTGCTCCCTAGCCTCCCCAAGCTCGACTCAGCCTTAAATGAGTGCCTGGTGCGGGATATGAACATCAGAACCGGGCAGAAGAATCCAGCTCCACCACCCCTCGTGTGCCATGCTGGCCTTAAAATAGCAGCTTGCTCAACAGCACTTGCCCCAGCAACTTATGTGAGCTCGAATGAAAAATCTGTGGATGGGCGCGTGTTTACAGTGATTTTCACCAATGCAAATGCTGAATATGTGTATTTTTATATATATCGTGAACATCCATTTGGCGTCAATGCTGAGTGGTACTTAAAAACTAAACTATGTTTTATGTTAACAGGCAAGGCCTACTGAGCTATGTAGCTATTTTTCATGAGCAACCTGGCCACAAGTGATAGCACAACGAAGTGGCTTGTCACGTGCACATTTATAGCAGCAGCCAAATACTCTAAACGCACGCTTCTAAATGTGGAGGGAAAAACCGGAGAACCCGGAGAAAAATCCACGTGACCACGGGGAGAATATGCAAACTCCACATACACAGGTGTCAGGGTCGGGATCGGGATCGAACCCACAACCTCCTGTATGCCAGGCGAGGGAGTTAACATCTCGCCACCGTGGCATCCCCTTGAATCCCTGTACCCCGTTGACTAACCCGCACTGACCAGCACGGTGAAGCAAAGTGGAACAACGCCCATGATGCACATTGCACAAGGAGGCCTTCCTCCAACAGTCGATTGACGAAGGGCAGGCAAATATAGATAACGCCACGTAATGCCATTAATTACGCAAGAAAGCCGCTGTAAGTCTCAACTCTTTCAATAGAGTCCTGTTTTGGAATGTTTGGCCAATTCCATTAAAGAGAGTGAGTGTGTGTGTGTGGGAGGAAACCTACATACCCTGAGAAAAAACTTGCGCACTCAAAAGCCTCAATATATTGGCCCACAATCCGTGCGACCATCTCCCGACCACGTCGCAGCACACTGCTTTTTAGGATATTTAAAAAAAATTGGGTGATCCACCAACGCTTGCTTCCAAAGTGCTGGTGGATTACAGGTGTGGGCCTCCTTCATGCCCACCTGCTATATGGTGGTATGCACAATCTGTTAAGCTCTAGTTTGCTCGCCAAAGATTTTTCTATGGGCTCTTGTGTGTCTATAAATAAACTGGATATATGAAATGTAATTTATTGATATTATCGCCTCCACTTTATGAAAGTTAATATTATCTCCTAAAAGAGTATTAAGACCTGACCTTTATCTCCTAGGTAAGTAAAGTAAAAAGGACCATTATGATTATCACCACCACTTTGATAAAGTGGTGATGAAGTGGTGGTGATAATTATAATAATAATCTTTACTTACCTAGGAGATAGAGGTCAGGTCTCAAGACTCTTTCAGGAAAGGATACGTTCCTAATCCCTCTTGTTTCTCACGTGGAAGGAAACTTGAGTACGTAGAGAAAACCCACGAAAAAAGAGGGCGTAAACACACGAACCTCTGCATAGACGGATTCAATCATATTTTCCGTACATCAATCTTTCTGGCCACCTTTGCAGACCGAGCCAACAAAACAGGGCATCCATAATACAGTTTTTTGGTGTTAGATCGCATACATATATAAATGTATCGTTAAACCCGCCACCACCCGACACAGCCAATTAGTAAGGTTTGTCACGTAAACAGAACATGGCAATTCGTTGCTAGTACAACACACCGGTGTGTTGTGTGTGTGTATCTTGTTACTAGTACAGCTGTCAGGTGGTGGCGGGGTTAACGACACATTTATATATTTACGCGATCTAACCCCAAAAAAAGCCTTTATTATGGATTATATTGGTCGCGAAAGCCTACGTGTTAAAACATGGTATATTCACGCAGTCTCCCATACGAGTACGAGCCAGGCTGAAACCAAGGTCTGACAAGATCAGAGCAATTTGTCCGTGGGAAAACGAAGATTGTGTTTCCCGTTACTCGAAAGTGGAATCTGCCGTTGTGCAATCCAGAGGTCGCCTGTTCGTTATTCCAGCGGGGCAGTTGAAAGAACGGGAACGTTTCTTCCTTCCCTCTTGCACCTCCAATTAGCACGTGCGGTGCGAAAGAAATTGGGCATACATACATACAAGCGTACACATTCCTCCACCTCTGTCTGCACAGCAGTGTAGGTGGGTACACGGTAGTCAATTGTCAGGTCATGCACGGTGGGGGTAAAGTGTAAGTACTTTCACCCCTTGCAAGACGTCTGCCCAATGTGGATATCAGGCCAACATACCCTTCTAGAGGGGCTGTCTAAACCACCACCCTCCCCCCGCCACCTCTTGCGGAGGCCCACCAATGCCAGCCGTGTCACGAGTAAGTTATTTTCCAAAAGTGTATTTTTATTGAACAACCCGTTCGGGTACACAGAGAGAGGGCACGTGTTTACACTACGCAAAGTGCAATGATTCGAGAAAGTTATTCGAAGGATGTACCTTTTCCAGAACATGTAACGATGCAATGTGACTGATGATGATGACGACGATGCTACGTGCTTCGTAACGCGCGCTTTGAACGCGATTATGCAAAAGTTTCGTTGTCGCATCGAGTAACGGGACTCTCCGGCAAAAATAGGAAGGCAAAGAAGTAATCGGTCGTCAATCTCGACACGATTCGGGATTCGTCCCTTTGTTCACGCCACAGCAGCAGCGGGTCGCCGGTGGAGACGTTTGGCCTCCAGGGGGGGAGGTGGGAGGTGGTGGTGGGGGCTTATCTGCTCGTACTGTACAGGGGCTGTGTTTTTGTGGAAAAATACAACTCGTGGGAGATAAGGGTTGGGCGCTGACCCATGACCGGTTGTGGATGTCCAGATGTGGGAGACCGCGTTACGTCAGCGCTATCATAACAGGCAGCCGTTTATAAAAAAAGAAATATAAAAAGCGGTTCCATTAAAAGCGAGCGTTATTTATGTTCCGAGAGCGATTCAATTTGGAAGTTGGCTGACACGCGTGATTTTTCATCTCGTTTAGATTTGATTCCTGAAATGCGAGCTGCAAATTGTTGTCGGGCCCTTGATTCATGGAATTGGGGTTTATTCTGCGGTGCTTCATCTGGGATTTTTTTCTGGCCTTTCTAAGCAGCTGCACATTGGAGAACGGGAATATTGAAAATACCTTGGATTTATTTGGCCAGGTGGCTTGGTGATAGAGTGGGCTGATTGCAATCGGAAGGTTGAAACTTCAAACCGTGGTCCGGTATTTCACTCAGTCCACCATTACATCTATATTATCTAATGGTTATTCTTGGTTCTTTCGGTAAAGTCACATAAAAATATAAAACAATGTTTTATATTATTATTTTATTATTTTCCCTTCTATGTCACTTTACCGATAGAACCAAGAATATGAATCCCTGCAGTCACGAAAGCTTTAAATCAAATTGTCTAATGGTTGTTATTGTTTGACTTGCATCGCACTGGGATTTTTGCACACAGCGTTGTAATACGGTGGGGTTTTTTTCTGGAAGATTTGCTGGTTTATCCAGGATGTTTCTGTTGCGCCTCGTCGCTTTAAGATGTCCTCTGTTCATATTTTGTTTGTTGCGGTTGTACCCGACTCAAGAGCCGCATGGCTCACAGGGCTCTACCTAATTAACGAAACTTGAAACACAGCTCTGGGGATCATAAAACGAATACCACTTGGTGGGGAAGCCCACAGTGGTTATTTCATGGATGTACTCGATCCTACCATAGGAATGCAGAAAATCACTTTCACTTTTCTTTGTAATATAACCTTTATGGAATATTCAAATATCTTGAATTTTAATCTTAAATTATCAACCTGTATATAATAACACATTGCAAAATAACTCGAAGGTCATCATATGAAATTTTGAAATTGTGAAAGCTTTCTGTGATGTTGCGTTTGGCATATGAATAAAGGGAAAAAAATTCTACCCATATTGGCATGTTAATTAAGAAAACATTTTTTTCCCTTTTTTACCCAGGACTCCATGCCAAGGTGCTCCTCGGTGTTTCAGAAAGATGCCACCGAAAATTACAGTGGACGCAATTCTCCCATCCTCGAGCAAAAAAAAAAGCCCACCGTCCCACAACGTTCGGAGAGCGTCCAGATGACAGGCGCACGCCACCAAGGCTTGGCGTTCGCCCACCCGGCCGAGAGCAATTGCCTTGATCTGAGAAGCGGCCGAGATCCGCGAGCTCTTTTTGCGACGCGTAGCCTGAAAGGTGCCGCCAGCTCCACAGAATGTCATTTTGTCACCGCTGCCTTCTCTTGCCCTTCATCCGTCAGCGGTGACTCGCTGGCAGCGAGCCACAAATGTCATCACCCGATCAT